TGTTACTTGTCTTGCTTATTCTACCTTTTTCCATAATATATAAAATTCGTAACCTTAATAAAACATTTTCTATGGATATTCTTGTCATTTAACCCGTTACTATTTTTTTACAACAACATATGAAATTGCTTCTTTCATAACGTCAAAAATTAGGCACACCCAATACCAGATGAAAATTTCGGGTAAAAACTATCGGAAACACCAGGCTGATATGCAAGAAAATATTGAAGCATGAAATTAATGAAATGCCGTTTCTGAACTAAATAAACATAAATTTATGATTTGTTTGTTTACTTCATTTCCTTTGTTCATTGTTATATCTTGTAATGTCTAATCCTTTGTAAACCTAAAGTTTTGCAATAATTTAAATTGTTCTGAACAAATATGAAGACCTCAATGTAACTGTCAATTTTAGGTGGCATTTATACTTTTAAATCAGCCAATGTGAAAAAAAAACTACGACTCATTATAAAAAAAGATTGGATAGCTTCATTAGAAAAAGATCGTATTTCAATAAATGATTTATTGTTATTATTTTAGTTTTTATGGAACAAGAAGTAACCTTTACCTTGTGTCTGAATAAAACCTTGGAAATCATGACTTTAAATTTGCGATTTTCAAGAAACGGTTGATAAATAACTTTGACATAAACCTAATGACCCTTACTGTATAGAAATGAATCAAGTTATAAAATAAAATATTTGCATCACATTTCAGTGATTTAATTCAGTGATACGGTTTTCTTATGTGTTGTTTTATCATTTTTTTCTTTATTTCTTATTATATATCAGACAGGATTACCTACCGTTTACACCGGTGCTAGAAAACTCTATCTTACACCCCCCATGTAAGACAAGTCGCGTGCTTTAAATGACGTCATTGACGCGCGCCTTTTATGAATGAATCGCGTTATTAGGATGACGTCATTTTTCCGTTATGAATGAAGTTGTAAGTTCATACGCTACTATAAGAAAAAAGTGCGTAATGAGAATATCAGTTTTCATAATTTCTGTTCCGAAAATAATTGACATGTAATATGCAAGAAAAAGAATCAAACACCGGCTGTTGGTACAGACGGGAATATCTAGCTCTCGGGTAACTGTTAAGCGGAAACTCGGCAGAGCCTCGTAACCGGCGTAAACAGTTACCCTCGAGCTAGATATTCCGGTCTGTACCGTCAGCCGGTGTAAGATTCTTATAATATTTCTCTCTATATTTTAAAATAAAAAAACTTAGATTTTGATTCTTCACGAAACATTTAACGAGCATGTCACGAGCGCTGATCGCATACTGTTTCCAAGTAATATGTAACGAATATTGCAAGTGAATTTTTATCACGTGACATGTATCGTGTGTAAATCGAAAACTGTTTTCAAGTAATATGTAACGAATATTGAACGCTATTTCTTATCACGACATGTAACGAGTGTAGATCTAAAATTATTTTCACGTTATATGTAACGAATATTGAACGCGAGTTCTTATCACGTGACATGTAACGAACGTAGATCGCAAACTGTTATCAAGTAATAGGTAACGAATATTGAACGCTATTTCTTGTCATGTTATATTTAACGAGTGTAGATCACAAACTGTTTTCACGTAATATGTAACGAATATTGAAAGCCAGTTTTTATCACGTGACCAATCACACCTTCTCGGCCTTTTCGGTCAAATGTCGATATTATTGATAATAAGCGAGATGATCCGATTGATCACTTGACATGTAGAACGCCCACTATGACCACGTGACATTGCACGAAATTGAAATCTATTGATATATTCCAAGTGTTATTTCAGTGATATTATTGATAGCACTCATAGGTACTAAAATTTGTCCCATTGATTTCATTTGTATTGTTATTTGCGCATGTAAATGGCCAATAAAACTTACATTAATACTAATGAACGTATGGTGATTCCACAATAAATTGAAAATTTTGCAGTTGACTGGCAAATTTTAGACTGTTTATAGATTGACATTAGGCCAGTAGGGCACAATGTTTTAAACGTATACTTACTTATTGTCGAAAGTAAGACATTACGCAAAACAGCCGCCATTATGAACACTTTTCGCAGATTGCAAAACAATTTCGTTTCTGTCAGATAATTTTCTCTTCCAGATAAGTTGAATCAAATGTATAATACTTACAATAATCGTTTGAATTCATAGCGAGAACAATATCTCACTTACACAATGTGATAACACTTGACTATATTATATCTGATGTGACGATCTTGGCGACACATTGAAGTGCAAAGCAATTTGCAAAAGGATGTGTTCTTAAGCTCATGAGCGGAGACGTTTATTGTTTATCTATTTACTTATTTATGTATTTATTTATCTTTTTATTTATTTATTTATTTATTTATTTATTTATTTATTTATTTATTTATTTATTTATTTATTCATTCATTCATTCGTTCATTCATCTATTTATTTATTAATTTATTTATTTTGTCAAAATCTATCATCTTCGTCAGATGTCAAAATTGGCAGGCAATGGACATAGAAGTTAAGATAGCGGCCTCTTGACCCTAAAGGTCGTGAGTCCGAACTTTACTTTGGCCACGCCATTACTCATAATTTTACTTTTAAACTTAATATTGAAAAAAAAAAATAGTTCTGATAAATTAAATATCTTGATTAAAAATATAATTCTTTCAAGCATCTCAAAAATGTTTGCAGAAAATTTAAAGGAGTATAGGCTGGGGGTGGGGAATGTTGCCTTTTATCATTGCCTTCAAACCTTTAACAAACACTGAATTAAACGTATTCATTGCTTAGATGCTGTAGCTTTTCGTTCTATATTGTAAACATGATAGCGAAAGCACTTATACCCTGTACTTCAATCAATATTGTTTCGTATTTAATAAAGTGGCTTTAAATTTTAATATCTTAGTTTTACATTTAACAGTTTTAGTTGGCTAATCAAGTAAACTATTCTCCTTTTCGTAAATCATTTCGTTAAAATGTCAATCCTTTTATAAAAACCTCACACTTCAATCAATGTTGTTTAATATTAAATAAAATGACCTTAAATTTTAATATATATACCAGTTTCAAATGGGTAATCAAGTAAACTATTTTCTTTTTCTTAAATCTTTTCGTTAAAATGCCAATCCTTTAGGTAATTTCCTTTTACTACAATGCAATATTGATGCTCCACGTGCCTCTGTCGTAAATATACCTTTAATAACTTTTCATTAAATGCAATATTCTCATATGAGAATCTCATAAGCAGCGTGTAACAATGTCATCAGCATCATAATTTACAATGTTGATGTTTTATTTGATTTATATACCATATAATTATACAGTATATGAAATCGGATGCTCTTGTTATTGACATTTGCAACTAAGCAACTATATTACAGTTAATTACCTCACAGAATAAGCTTTATTACATGAGTCATTTCTCTTAAAGGCTAACAGAAACGTTAAGATAAATATACATTTTTGTTTTTGTTTTACCACAGTGGCATTTCTATATAATATTAGAAAAAAGAAAGGAACCCTCAAAACATTGCTTAGTAACAATTTCCTTTGGTGACTGATATGTGCTATTTCGTATTTTCGCTCGGCAGTGAGCCAGGCAAAACAAATTTTGGTGTTGATTTTGGTACATGAAAACCACGTTTTTTAACGTCGTGATGTAAATAAAAGATACTGCTATGAAATTGTCATATACACTGTCATAAAACTTGCTCTGTAAATCTGTAACACAGTTATGCTTAATTAAAAATATGCTTAGTTAAAAGTGACTTCCTTCAAAGTCAATCTCACTATTCTCTAAACAACTTATCAAGGGGTCTTCTACGGAATTGCAAACTTAGAACTGATGGCTTTTTATCTAAGTTTAAACTGTACTGGAGAAATGTTAGTATCTATGAAGACATAAAATTCAAGTATATTGACATCAAGCACATATATAAGTTTTTTTAAAGAGAATTTTTAAAGGACCCTTAAACGGGCATTTGGAAATAGCTTTTAAAGTAGCTTTTCCGATACGTTGACCTACATTTGAAACATAAAATATTAAAAACAGAAGATGAACCTCCTGTGCATAGCGTTTCTTTTTTAATCATCTAAGAAGCAAATATACCTTTAATGTCCTTCAATAAATTTCTGTTTTTTTTTCAATATCTGAGACTTGCACTTTAAGACTTTTTATTGTCGTTAAAACGTGAAACCGGAGAAGTTCCATTCTCAAGAATTCCATTTAAATTGCGGAAACATTGTTCAAACCAAACGGTAACGTTTGATTTATTATTGAAACGTTATATACTTCTCGCGTATCATGAATAAGCATTTGTCGCAAAACATTGTATGAATGTAATATACCGGTATCATTGTGCGCTAGGCAACAAAAACTATATTAAAGCTCGCAAATCGGTAAACGTTTATTATGAAACGCAAACAATAACTTATATTTATAAGGATCTTTTTGCTGCATGCAATTGCTTTTCTCTCTTGCAAATAATTATTACATTGTATATGTTATGCAATAATTATCGTGAATGTAAAGGGAAACTAATATATTTGAATCGTTGTATAATTTGCACTGATTCACCATGGCGATATTGCAATACTTTGGAGAACATAAATTATCTCAGATTGGTTTCACTTTGACAGATTTTCTCACAAAATGGTTGTGTCACTTGCCCGATTTTTCTATTGTATAAGATATCAAAAACTTCATTTTTATGGGTGATTTATAGAAGCTGAATGCATGTAATTGCCATATAAAACGGGTCTTGCAAAATGTTATATGCCGATGCCATGGATTTGTCCTGTTGGGTTAATGCATAATACAAATTAGCTTGGTCCAAATTATACGATAACATATTGAATATGAAATTACGTCATAGATAATAATAATTGTAAGATCTTATAACATCTGGTTCTTTTCTAAATAAGCAAACACCACTTATCAAATCGTCATATATAGAACTACTATATACTAACCTTTGAAGTTTTTGTTTCTTCTATTTTTCCAGAACACGGATTTCAAGGATTTGAATGTATTGCGGCGGCAAACAAGATCCGCAGATGGAAATATAGGTACGCATACTAAACATGTTTTTCAGTCTTAGATCTGATGCAACGATTTTATCAAGTAAATTCATAGCCAGAGATATATTTGTGTATGTGTTTAAATAAAAGATAAATGTATATATATAAAAAGCTGTAACAAAGTATAGCAGTGGCAATCATTTTACTATTGCATAACTCTTCTGTTATATGTTTTTAATGTTTCAATTTTGTTGTTGTAGACATTTTGGCATAAAACACAATCCAACATATTATGCGACATATTAACCCATTTATTATTACACCATAACCTCTAAATAATTATGTACAACTTCCACTTTAAAAAAGTCTGCAAGCCTACCAATGGCAATTTGAAATACGGAAAGTGTCGAAAAATAAGCCGGAATATACCTAAATATATCTAAATGTATCGAAGAATGCCGAATGTTTAAGTGATTATTATTAGCCTATAAAGTTAATGGTAATAATGATTATATTATATGCAGTATGTATAGATATAATAAAAGTGTATAAAGGGAGTTATAATATTGCATGACCGAGTGTTCATCAGATGACAGTGATTATACGGACTTATGGCGAAATATACCAAAATTCCCTTAATATGCAATGAACCGTTTTATTAATCATTTTAGGATGTATACATATGGAAATGTAAAAGGAGGGTTAAGATACGCTCCCAACTGGTCAATAGAAGTATATGGCTTGTACCGAAATATGTCGAAATTTTGTCGAATTATTCCGAAATATGCCGAATGTTTACGAGATTATAATAACCCTTATTATTACTTTATTTCAGGATGTATACATATGGAAAGTGTTAAAGGGTAATTACAATATGTATCCGACGGTTCAACAGAAGTATGTGGCCTGTATCTTATAGGTCAACCAAACGAGGTTGTTGTTGTAGCATTTCTAGAATTCAACGTTAATTGTGAAACTGGAGGTGTTTTGGCGGTGAGTCGTCCTTTTTTATGTCATAATACTCATCAATTATTTCTCTTTTTGAGCTATAGTAACCTATTTATCTTATTTGATTATGTCAGTTTACTTTTATTCTGTCACCGCTCTCGTGGGACGTCCATTTGTTCTCAGCTTTGTTTAGTGCTGTATGGAAGCTGTCATTTTTGCCCTATTTTGGTAACTCAGTAAGATTTGAACTCAAAAGATTTACATAGTCATAACCTGCAACTTTAATATTCCCAACCCTTTCTTCTTAATACAAAAAAGTAACACACAGCTCATTGCAAAAGCTTATTTAAACTACGGTGGCATTTTAAAAATCAAGAGCAAGGGTGATCCCGCTTCCAATGCTTCTATGACCGGATAAATCCCGTGACAGTACGGTTTTTAAAACCATAAGCAAATTAAGGTTTTTGAGGCGTATTGCATCACAATCTTGGTTTAAGAGGATTAAAATTTGTCTGAAATACGGTCCGTGATTTTCAGCGAAATTGTTCAATTACTCAGTCAATACATCTCCGCAGACTAACAACACCCTGTCAAATAAAAGCTTTTGGTTTGGTTTTTAAATAGCAATCATGGCTTCATACTTGCTCGGGTTTTTATTTCTTGCTCGATTTAGGAGGCTGCAATACAAAATTATTCAGCATTTCAATTTGAGAACTATAGTTGTTAAATATAGCAATGTATGGAGTGTAATTAATAATTATTATTCTCGTTTATATATTTTATATATGTCTTTCGTATAAAGTGTCACAGTTGATTAAAATTAAATTTTTTATTTTTTTATTTTTATTGTTAGAGATTTATGGTTTAGGGTTTAAGATTTATGGTTCATGGTTTAAGGTTTAAAGTTCATGGTTAATTGTTCAATGCTTAAGAATTATTGTTCAAGGTCCAATGATTATGGTTAATGGTTTATTGTTTATGGTTTAAAGTTTAAGGTTTACGATTTCAGGTTTATGTTTAAGCGTTCATGGTTTAAGATTTCTTGTTTATGGTTTTAGGTTTATGGTTGAGGGTATATGGCTCAACGCAAAAGGTTTAAGGTTGAAGGTTTATGGTTAAAGGTTTTTTGCAAAAGGTTTTTGGTTTAAGGTTTTTAGTTTATTGTTTCAGGATCATGGTCTATTGGTTTAGGTTGATGGTTTAATGTTTAAGGTTCAAGTTTTATGGTTAATGTTTTTTTGTTTAAGGTATTTAGTTTATTATTTTAGGTTCAAGATCTTATGGTTAAGGTTTATGGTTTAATGTTGATGGTTTAAGGTTTTTGGTTTAAGGTCTTTGGTTTATTATTTAAGGTTTTTGGTTTATGGTTTAAGGTTTCTGGTTTATTTCTTAAGGTTTATGGTTTACTGTTTAAAGTTTAAGTTTAAGGTTCATATTTAATGTTTATGTTTTAAGGCGTTTTATGTCGAAGAGTTCCGATAAATTTAACTTTGTAAGTGAAGACGTATGTTTCATTTTTTTAGATTTTGTTTGTTAATTTGTAATAATTTGTATTTTGTCTATTTTGCACACTTTCTTAGTTTAAAAAAAACAACAGCATACATCAGCAGGCATGCTACTTTTAGAAACGGTGAAATGAATTTTCAAAGCAGGATTAAATTGAAATTTGACTTAATAACAGATTGAAGAGAGAAAATAATTTTCATTGTAGTTATGTTATTTATTTGAAATTTGTTTTACGGCAATCAATTTAGAAAAGAAACTCATTCTGTCGCTTGAAAGTTAAAAAAAGTTTTAATAAAGTTGTCAGCCGCAATAAGCTTTTATTTTATGTTAGAAAATCCATTCCGTTTTGTTTCAAACAAAGTATTTCAGTAATTTTATGTAAAGTTTCTTACTCAAGGTAACAATGGGTTATCCCTGACTGGATCCGAACCCACGTGTCCAGCAATGCATAGATTACTGTGTCAATGAATGAATGAATGAATGAAAGAATGAATGAATGAATAAATGAATGAATGAATTTATGAACGAATGAATGAACATAAAGCGTATAAAATCCCTCAATGCACCATTGATCAGACACCTTGACCGCGTGATGACACATCTTTTCTTTACTATTTTTCGTTCTTTATAATATTGTTGCTCAGTAATTATTATTAATATCATTTATTTTTCCAGACATTAGACGGCTGGGAGCTCCAGGGTGACTTGTTCCCCAGTGAAAATGACCACACCCTCAGTCTGGCAGAGAGGTATCACATGTACTGTGGAGAAACTAGGCCAAAGAAAATATTTATATCATCACAAAACGTTGCCTTGATACAGTTTAGACACCCCAATCCAGGCGAGGGATTTAAAGTGTTCGTGAATTTCAAAAAGAATCCCCAACGTAAGTATTCCTTCACTTATATATAATACTTCACGTTTGTAACGCCGTTTTTTATTAGTTAATCGTGTCGTTTACATAGTTTTATATATACGACTGCTGTCAATTTATGAAGAAATCTCAGTTTTTTTTCTCTCTCTAAAAAACTAAGTTTGCTGCATTATAAATTCGTTATAAAGATTCTTGAGTCTTGGCGGCTCGGGCTATATATGAAAACAACCGTTTATATCGGGCCAAATAACCTGCAAAAATCTTTATAAATAATGATATAAATATTCGATTAAATACACTGCCAAGAAAGAACAAACAAAAGATAATTAGATTAAAAAAGTAATACTAATAAGAAAAAAGTAATAATAAAAAACAGCACACAAAACACCGCCAACTGTTTAATGTCATAACAAAAATAATTTTATCTCACTTTTTCTCTTGGAAATTTTATTGTAAAAACTGTAACCCAGCCCTTCTTCTGAATATTGTATAAAATGCCTTCTTTGACAACAAATGAACAAAAGGGGCTTTCTTTTCACATTAAGAAAAAATAGTAATGTTGTCTTATTCTCTTCCAAAACAACATAATTAAAAACTGAATATTTGTAATCTTGTCATTTGTTTTCGAACAAGAAAAATACGCATTTGTGGAAAACATGAATTTTTGTTCATTTATTGACTGTACTAGTATAAGAAATGGTATTATACAATTACTAATTTTCACCATGCTATAATTGCAAACCTATGAAGCCCATCCTCGGTAACCCAGGCTCTTTACCGTATACAAGTAAATATTAAGTGCAGTATATACGGAATGTGTACCGTGAGTGCCGCTTTATATTAGCAATGTGTAACGTACTTTCTTAATTTCTTTTGGATAAGAATAAAAAAATTATCAATTATATTAATATTTTACATGTTATTATTGTGTAATAGATTTGACAGCATCGCAATAAGTACATTTAAAGGTTGAATATCAAACAAAAATATCAAAACGTCAACAGAGTATAACATGGTAAATGTAAGCTGCGGATTTGCAAGCTGGCCTGGTTCTATACTAGTACTGTTTGCAACGGCTAATCAAGTTCGGAATCAGTCCGTGAATGACATCATCATTTTAGTGATTATCCTTTTCTTGCTCTGCCTTTCGCACTGTCCTCTTTTTGTTCAAGGGTCCTCCTGGGTTCCTTGCCACTGGTTCTTAGTGTTGGGTCGTGTTGAGGCCGCCTTGTCTTGATAATCCTGTTTATCATATTTCATATATGACCATAATTCACAATCTGACATCAGAGAAATCTTTAATCCGCTTGTTTTACCTCAATAATTTGTGATTATTTATTTTTATGAGCATATAAGAATGGAAATAGACTTTTTTACTTTTTATTGCATTTTTATTTGATGTTGTAAAACTGCTTACCTGGTGGTGGTGTTCGTAGTTTTCACTCCGGATCACGCCAATAAGCCACATTGAATTTACACCACGCCGTTCCTGGGTAGGGTGTCGAGCAATTTACGAGTTCTAGCTGAATTCACTTTCGCAAGGAACAGAAACTTCTGTACCTACCAGAACAGATGTACAGTGCGAATGACCGTAGATAAGATTTCGTGATCAATCACAACGAAAGTGACCTACGCCGTCCGGGAATCGATCCCGAAGCGTCTGATTCGTGAAGTTGATATTATACATTCGCGGTGTAGAATTCGGGAAGTTGAAATCGTGAATACATGAAGTTGAAATCTTTAATTCGTGAAGTTGAAACAGTTTTGTATAAATGCATCGAATATTGTTTGGTTTAACTGTTATTATTGGATAAAAATATTATATTTCCAGCCTGTAACGCAGTGGCCATGTTTGACATGGGAACACTTACTATGAAGAATTACGGCTAACGTCGTCCATAATCTTTAATGTTAGATGTTTGTTGCCTGAGGAAAAGAGCGACAGATGTAAAATAAATTTGTCAAAACGTAGTAAAATGTAAGCAAAGTAGTATTTTGACTTCCATACAAAACACTTATTCACTATAACTTTACTTATTGCCGAAAAAAAAGCAACAGATGAAAAGATGGTCCAGTAAATTGGCCAATAAATATTTTATGGATACTATAAAGTACACCAACATTAAAAGCTTTTGAGAAATAAAAGTAAAAACATTTATGAGGGATAATGGGCCTTTAAGTTATAATCAAATTTGTTTTGTTGTTCAACAACTTTAATATTTGACTTTCAGACGCTCCAGAAAAGTTTGTATTAGGCTGCCAACATTATGTAGTAAGAATGGTGTCCAGTGGCATTTTCCACAACACTGTCACATTCCAGTACTCACCTCCGAAGAAGAGGAGATTAATTGCCGACCGATATGTGCTAAACGTAAGTGGTTAAAGTGACACACTTCCAGATATGACTGTGCATAAAATGCATTTTTAAACAGAAACAAAACAAAAAATAAATTTAAAAAAAAAAATATAACGCCAAAAAAATAATAAAAAATTCTCGAGTGATATGTTTTTAAAATTAAGATGAAACTTCGAATGCATTCCCTAAATAAGGCAAAATTTACCGTTCTTACATGCAATTAAATGAAATTCAGGACTTATAAAAACTTCCATATTTTCTGACAAATTATGGGTCGCTTCTGTAATAATAACAACAACAACATATTAACAATAATGGTAAAATCATACAACAAAGCTGGAGAAGCGCCGCTTTAAAGAAGCTGATATACATGTATAGTTTACAAGTCTAATTATATTCGGTAATGTCATGATAATTTGTGTTTTTGTTTGATCTGTAATATTTGCAAAACTGTGACCGGTGACATAAAGTAGCTTAAAATATAGAATAAATATAGAATGACCGAAAGTAATGGTCAATGTATTACAGAGATATGTATACTGAAACGGAAACCCAGACATATTGCGCTCGGCCGTTTCACTCCTATATTTAAGGTATTAGCACCCTAATGCATTACCTCCGCTTTGAAGAGTATTCAAATAGGCTAGAACTACTGTTAACTACATTGAAAATGAGGGCCATGGGTTCAATCCCCAGAAGGGTCAACTTTTTTTTTCTTCTTTTTTCTTTAACATTATTTATGTATCTCTCATGTCCCATTTGGAAAGAAAAAAGTGTTTAATTTTGATTTTTTAAATCTATATTGGTATTTATTTGCTAAATTATGCTAACTCTAGTAATAAATATGGTACTGATATTTTCCAAAGTGTAAATAAAATCAAAACTAGACGGTAAAAGTATTTCATATATTTTACAAGATCAATCAATATACTTTTTTAAAAATTTAGGAAAAAATTTGAAAACAGGCACTCATTTGGGTAAATTTTAAGAATTATTTAAATTAGGCTCACTAAGTTAGAAAAATGGTCTGAGACACGTTGGTAAAAATGGGTGGGGTAAAGCGGGTAACATTTTTATACAGATTTCATAAATTTTAAGTAGAAACCATAATTTTGCTTATTTGGATTGTTAGCTGAATGGTACTATTTGGAAAAAAAATTAATAGGAAAACATTTTCTATTTGAATGTTATTGCAGGAATTATTTAAAGGTTCCTACTTCTTAAAAAAGGGCCCTCATAAACATCCTAGCTGGAGTTCAGAAAAGTGGCCATAACTTGATTTTCTGTACGGTAAATTTGTTTAAATTTTGCATACAAGGTGTACTTTAAGGTATACATCTGACTTATGATGTCAATTTTTTAGTTCCTGATAGTGCCCATTAGGGTCCTAATACCTTAACAATCGAAATAGTAGAGGAAAAACAACAACAACAAAAAACAACAATAACAACAACAAATAAGTTTTCAATCTGTATGAACATAAATGATGTTTAAGTATGGGTTAAAGTTTATTAGTACGTATTTACAAAAATAAATTTTTTACCGGCTAAGTGTGTTAAAATATTTTTATAAACAGTCGATTTACTAGTCTGATTAACAGTTTGCCGATTTACCAAAGTAAATGTGTTACGATTCATTTGAAATACTGCGATCCTATTGGACAAAAATAATTTCAAACACTAAATAATTTAACAGTATTTCCCATTTCAAAAACGTTAAATATGATTGAAAATAAAAATGTAATATTTCACGTTCAAATATAGAATCGAGAGAAGGTTTTCATTTTTTGCATAAATTATTTTACAACAATACCTTATGCATTTTTTTTTTTTCGTTTTCAGAGCAGGGCGACACAAGATATCAAACAACAGCTACAAGTATGCCCTTGTTAGAGCACCAATTTCGTTACTTATATGTTTAATATCAAAGACAAATACTTACAGTGAAAGCTATTTTTTTGCAAAAATATGCCAACCCAAAAATTTTCCAAATAACAATTGCCCTTGAACCATTACTGTCACAATTTGATAATAATCAAATAAAAGAGGAAATATACTCTATAAAGTGGCGTGATTTTCGTAATTATTATTATTATTAATATTTTATCATCATAATTATTACTATTTATATTATTTTTAATTTGACAAAGTCAATTATAATGAAATAGTATGTAACCTAACACTCGACAGAAGAATTGGATGTTACCAATCAAAGATAAAAACGGACAGTCAAATACAATACAATGCAATACATATACAATACCACTTAAAAATGACCACGCCCCATGTTCATAAGAACATGAACAGCATTAAGATCTTTCTAATCTTTTCCAGATAAGTCCATTTTGAATTTTAATTCTTTTAATATTGCTTCACTTGATCCAAGTAAAAAAAATATGCTTAGGCTAAAATGAGCTCCTCTAACATGTGTCGTTTCAGCACCAATTTTAGATAAATATTGAACATCAAATCTGTGTCTTGATCTGATCATGATACTGATACCTTAATCTTAAGCTTAGTTCACACGGATCCATAAGATAAATTGGTTGTTTGTGAGAATAATTATTACAATGAACTGGATCGAGGTATCGAAGCGATTTTCAGAACTATGTCCAGATCGTTGAAGGCGCAATTGAAAACAACAACAACAACAAACAGAAAAAAAACACAAAAAAACCACTTACTTCGGACTAGTAGCGACACCTTTTTTTTTGAAAAGAGGACACATCTTAAGGTTTATTAGCAGAACTGTGAGCCCACAAGCGTTTACCGAACTAAAACCGGAAGTCAGAAGCTGAGGTGTTTGCCGAACTTAAACGGAAGCCAGAAGCTGAGACATTTACCGAACTAAAACCGGAAACCAGAAGTTGAGGCATTTACCGAACTAAAACCGGAAGCTAGAAGCTGAAATCCGTTTGCAATTCGTTTGTTGTTTAGGACTGACCAGGTGGAGGACAGATTTTTATGTTGTTAAGATAACATTTCATTATAAACATTTACGTAACTCTGTGCGACTTAATGATACCTTGTTGGTCTAAACGTCTTAAAAACAAGAGAAACAAATAAGAAACTTCTCGCAACAGGAGGCCGTTTAAAACTTCCGTTACTGATAAGACTTCCGTAGTGTTCAAAACATCTTATCAATAGATAAAATCAGTCGTCAACACCCATCGATCGCACTTAAATGGGCAGGGGCACTTTTAACGTTTCTGTAAACATCTACTAAAGTTCATCTCATACGTAGTAGCTTAGATTTTAATTTTTTGCAAAGGGTTGACCGTAACTAAAGTATTTTCGTGGTGCTTGTCCGAATTGGTTTACGTATCGAACTAAAATATAAGATTCAAACTTTTCGCCAGGGGCAAGCTGTCGTTCCGCTTGAGCAACAAATTCTTACACTCATTGTTTGGTACTTGTTGGTTCAAGAACGGATTCGAGAGTGTGTGAATAATCATTAAGCTTCCTGCACAATCGGCTAAAATAAATTCTGTATAAAATAGTCTGAAGTTTTAATATAACAACAAACAATGCAAATTTGTACATTTGTTATAAGTCCTTGTTACAGGTCTTTTGTCCAAGGGCTTAATCGGTTTATTGCAGTTGTCTGAAGTACAGCAATATGTACAATCAAAGTCCAAGGTGATAATGTTGTTTGTCCTCCTCAAAGTTACGGCATTGTCGCTGTCAGAGCTTCCTAAGAACCACTCACGGGGTAGCAGGTGTCAAAGTTGCCGCAACTGAAAATATATGTGTTTATTTCATTGATTATTCAATATTTGAGCGTTTGCATCACGTGATGTTCTATTGTAAAAAATGACATATTTTTATATTTTTATTGAGTGTTTTCAACGCGTCGTATATATAATTCAATAGTGCTACAGTTCTCGCGGAGTCTTTGGTCCTCTTGGACATTTAGTTAAAACATACTTATTTATAATATATGCATTTGCGCAATAAGGTTCATAAAATAAAATTTGCGGATGGAGTAAGAAGCTTGAACAGCTTTTTTGAACTCAGGATTTAACAAATTTTAAGTAAGTGTTAACAAAATATTCAATACATAAACTAAACTATACATATCATATCGACCTGTGCTTGTTTTTTTTTTACATATACATACTGTCTTTATAATAAGTATTCTTGATCTAAATACAAGATAAATTAATGTTGATTTGAGGTATAAGCATGAATAAGAGGTTTTTACGGTAAGCTCAGACTTCTAAGCGTATAAAGCAAAATGTTATGTGTACACTGCAATCTCAGCATACCATATATCTTTACCAATTTTACTCAAGTAAGACTTTGGACCAAATTAAACCTTTCCAGAATGACGCCTCAGGACAACAGCCAAAACAATCATCTCTCAACAATAAAACAAAAATAGAATCTAACGTCTCGATATCATTTCTTAAAATGAATCTCAGGGATATTTTGTCGAAAAACCATTCTGTCGTCTGCCTTTGATCGTGGTTGTCACCATTGTCACTACATTAGGATTTAATAACCAAAATATCATAAAGGGACTTGCAAACCTAAGAGTTTTGGACAAGTCTATTCATCAATTTTAGGGAAGTACTGGCTAAATAGCAAACAAGTACAGGCCGTGGTCAGAGAGTGATGATGTAATTGCGGTTTTTGGTCTGAACTGACACACTTAGTACATTACTATATAAACACAGTATTTTTTATGTTTGATAATAAAGTTATAACAACTTTAGTATGTTATCAAAACAGTTAAGAAGTAGGACGACAATGACTTGTAAAACGTTCATTATCGCCAACACACTTTGGAAATCTGGAGACATATTGCTGTACATACTCTTCTTATCGACTAAAGAGACCGCCACTTGGCTTACATTTAACATGATTGACTGTTATATCAGATTGTCTGTGCTATTTGACCTCAACGGCCTGTTGCAAATATAATTGTTCCCAAAGATAAGTAAGATACCACTCAATGAGAATACGATATAACTGATAGATTTAACGATAAGCATATACATGTATTAGTTAAATCTTTGTCGGAAATATGCCAACACATTTTCAAGTGTGTTTGATTGCTTTTGTCGATTTTTGCTCCGATTTTAACGCATGTTTTAGTGAAATCTCGGCTGTCAATTCACTTTACCGGCTTACTTGGATAAAGTAATTATCAATTTCTCTGCAGTCCTTTTCCCACGTGTTTTATGAATTGGAAATGATAGACAAGTAACCAACAGACTCGATTTCCGAGATAAACTGTCCGTAAATAGTACACCGCTCCCTAGAATAAAACCAGCGATCACTGGATGATCCGGTGCTCTCCCTAAAGAGCTTAGTGGACGGACTTTTCTGATATTTTTTCAGACCTTATAAAATGTGAAATAAAAAAGCCATTTCTCACTGTTGACAGCAATACTAAATATATTGGATTCGTAGAAAACTGCACAACATATATCGGACTAGGTTAGCACCTCGGCCAAATATAGATTTGGCCTCAGCCTCTTATTTATTTGAACGCTGTGTACTCAACAATTGAACTCAACAATTCATAATAAACCACTGTTATTCAAATATCATTAAATATAACCAATAAACTTTCAGCGCGTTTACGTCACGTAATCCAATACGTCTATGTATATCATATCAAATAAATATTGTACCCCATTTAGCCTTGTCTTTATGTTCAAGAGGCCAAAATCAATATCAATATGTACTGTCTTAATGTAAAAATTTAATGGTCTGAAATGAAGAGGTCGTTACACATTGTTGAGCACAATACGGTTTCTGTTGGACTTCACAGTTGCAAACCAGGTTACCTATATCAGACTCGGCTACCGCCTCGACCAATATAGTGTTGACAGCTGTGTACTGCTCCAATGTAATTAAGTATTGTACTCTTTAACAATCTATGTGTACATGCATAACTTACTGTCTTGTAACCATCCTTGTTCCATCTATATGGTTGGTAAGCTTGTTTATGCAGTAGTTATTTGGAGGACTGCATGTCTGCGGCGCAAACAATTTTTCACATAGGAACTCGGGACCAGCGCATACATTGCACGTAACTGAAATAAAAGGAAGTATGCGAAACTGTATTAGAGGTCTGACTAAACATCATAATTTGACCTTAAAAGAATTAAAAAAAAAACTTCAAATAACTGGTATATAAACAATAATTCAGACCTAATAGAAGGTTGTAACAAATTAATTCCGAGTATTTGTATATATGATCTTTATATATTAATTACAGGATACAATCTTATCAATTTAGTCTTGTTTTCACATTCTGAGTCTTAAATTCTATATAATAAAAGCTCTAGTGTACTCCGTCATGTCCTTGTAGCCTCTTTTTTTAAGTCTGCAAACTATCCATATCAAATCTTCATTATTGAACTCTAAGTAACAGATTATGTCAAAAGGTGAATGAATGGTGGTTTGAAAGAAGAAGTAAGTGCACATTGTTCAATAAATATATATTTTATTGGATATATGCGCAGCTGTAAACCTATATTGTACTGAGCTACAGCAAAGTCCAATGTGTCATTGTCTGATATAATTTAGTATTAAACTCATCATTACATCATTATATTACAAAACAAGAAAATATGAAAAGGACAATAAAAAGCAAATTAAATCAAAATCAAAATCTGCTCCTACGCATTAGGATCTGACGGGCACCAATAAAAAGGCACCATCTCGTTATCGTTCAAACAGCCAATCTTCGGCGAGCTTTCACAATTTTAAAACCAATGCGGTTTCATTTTTACCGATACTGGAAAACCAATACCAAGGGGCAGGACGTGAAGTGGTTGCACACTTGGTTCAAGCGAGCGAATTAGTTGCAAACTTGACAAAATGGCGAACACGGCGTGATTTTTTGAAACGGGTGAACGAATTTTTGCCAGGCAAGTGGGTTTCTTTGTTATTTTGAAGTTCATTAGTATGTCTATTCCATAATGCAATATATATGCCACACTCGGTTAAAGGTTTCAGCATTCTAGATTCTGTTTTGAGAAAGTTATTGAAGATATAAACTGATCATGTAGATATTTTGAAATTAGACATGTGACTGTTCTGGTAGGTTTTTCTCCTAATTTATTCGAATTTGTACTTTTTGACATGCTTTTAACAATAACAAAATATGTTTCTGTCAATGCTGTACAAATGGTTTAGTTCTCAAGTCCGAAGATAACGTTCAATACACAAAAATATCTTGTTCAAGCACATTTTGGTTGCAGACTTATACTTCAAGCATTTTTGGTTGCAAACTTTTGTGTCAATAATGTGGCATGCATATTTTTAGCGAGGAATAACTAATCTTTTTTTTTTTAATAATTAGCTATACCCGTTCATCTAGTAAGAAATATATGTACAAATTGTGCATGCGTGCAGATATATCCTAACACAGGGTTTTTTTCAAAAAGATATAAAACACAATATGCTAAATTGAAGTTCAGCTGTGTTTATCTTCATCATTTTTTTCTCCTCGATATACTTCTTTTCTTTTTTACAAAGTTTTTCGACTTTTTTTATATCTTGGCATGACTAACTGTAAAGGAAAAGAAGAAAAAATAGTAACAAACAGCTTTCATTATTGTTCTTCTTTGAAATTAGAAATAAATTTTGATTATATAGTAGATAAAAACTATATTAACATTGACACAATTGCGTTATTCACATGTTTCTTTAAATTGTTCCTTATTATTGACCAATCGAAACATCTTCCAAATTCCCTAACTCAAACAATGACTTTAAGTAGTTTTGTCACGTATTAGTCAATGTAAATAACCAATCGTATATCATTTATATTATGATCTAATAACCAAAATCATTTTTAGAATACCAATTGACATATGATGTACATAAAATCCGAAATATTGTAAACAAGCATGTCATTTTAACTTTTGGTTTGTAAAATATTTACATTTACATACTTTATGTCTAAAGCAACTCCTGATCTTTACATACGAAACAAACAAATTAGCATTTCTTGTGGTTTTGATAAATTTTGGAAATTTTGCCGAGTAACACCGTATGTGAGCACATGTCCTTATGTTTATGATGAAAATAATTCACTTACATACAACAGTACTCTCACATACGTTTGTTTTGTATGTAGTTTTCATTTGCATTTTACATCTGATTACATATTGTAGAATTGAAGTATCAATAAATATTTTTCTATATGCTTTTATTTTGTTTGCAGGCTTTTACTGGTGATTATAGTATTGAATTGAGAACCATGTAATTTGAAACATAAAGTGCATAATTGTTGTAAAAGAAGAATGTATAAATAACATTTATAACAAAAACAAGTAACAGAACATAAATGTTGAAAATAGGTTAATAAATACAACCTTCTTTTTTGCAAAGTTTTACTATGGATTTCAATAGAATAATAATAAGTTTGCAACCAAAAATGCTTGAAGTATAAGTCTGCAACCAAAATGTGCTTGAACAAGATATTTTTGTGTATTGAACGTTATCTTCGGACTTGCGAACTAAACCATTTGTACAGCATTGACAGAAACATATTTTGTTATTGTTATATGCAGTTCAAAACTTACAAATTCGAATAAATTAGGAGAAAAACCTACCAGAACAGTCACATGTCAAATTTCAAAATATCTACATGATCAGTTTATATCTTCAATAACTTTCTAAAACAGAATCTAGAATGCTGAAACCTTTAACTGAGTGTGTCATATATATTGCATTATGGAATAGACATACTAATGAACTTCAAAATATCAAAGAAACCCACTTGCCTGGCAAAAATTAGTTCACCCGTTTAAAAAAACCACGCCGTGTTCACCATTTTGTCAAGTTTGCAACCAATTCGCTCGCTTGAACCAAGTGTGCAACCACTTCACGTCCTGCCCCTTGAATACTACATAGTAACTTTTCACGGTTTTTAAACAAACATGGCGCTGTTCAAATAATAGTAGATGAACAGGCAAACAGATGTTACCATTATATCTTTAGTTTATAATATCCAGTTCATTTGAGTCAAGTAATTTGACATTCTTTATCTAGCTCAAAAGAGAGAAAATAAGAATCCTTAAAGAAAACCTAAGACGAAAAAATTGAAAATGTTGCAGGCTCGGTTTGATTGAGCCTGTTCAGGGACGGCATCGGCTTTCAACAGAATTCAACATTTAAACATAAAATGGTAATATTTTAAATTTAGAAACATTCGCAGATGTGTTCATATGGCGGTTATTATGGAACCCTTAATGTGACTACCGTGTCATTCGTGGAAAGCGACGTATGGTCCTCAAGTAAACAAAAATGCGAACAACTAAAACAAAGCAACAATTTGCTTTATTTCCACGTGTCACTTCGTCTTATGTCTATCTGTATGGCTAAACATTGTTTTCTCGGAAGGTGAAACAAATAAGGTTGCATTCAAACATGCATGCCAAACTTTTTAAAGTAAATCTAATCTTTAGTCAGATTCGCATAAAATATGATAAACAAGATCAACAAGGAAAGGCGGCGTTCAAAGAACGCAACCCCCATACGACCCAGCAACAAGAACCAGTGGCAAGGAGCCCAGACAGACCCCAAACAAAAACAGGACAGGGCACAAGACAGAGCTCGGACAGGTTATTCACTAAATGATAAATAAATTGAAACTGATTAGGAATTCGAAGAAACCAAATAAATGATTGAATAATAGGCCCATAAAGTCAAAGGGCACAGGGGAAGGGGACAGGAGACCGGGGGAAGGGGGGAGGTTAATCAAAGAAATAAAAACTAGGGGTAAAGGGGGAAGATACTTACCGTAGACGAGAAAAACAACAAGGGACACAAGCAAAGTTGTCACCAAATCAGTATGAAACAACATAGACATACATCTGAGGAACACAGAGGGGCGCCGGCTTGGAACGGTCAACAGCATAATAATGACTGCTGGGGAGTTTAAACCGCTTAATGGTGCATCAAACCTCGCTCTTAGCCCCACCATGTTCCTATAAACGAGACAGTGTAAATAAAAAGAATCCCCGTCAAGTGAAATTCTAACAGTTGTCATGGTTACAATAGATTGAATAAGTAAAACACCAAAATGATCATGTAGAAACATAGAAAAATAAACCCAATAACCATAACAAAAGTACCCAATGTCCTAAAGGAAGACAGAGCAACAAGAAAATCACCTACAAGGGCGCGACGAAGCAAGGCAGAAGACGAACAATAAGACAATTCAGTCCCAAAGGGCTTTTAGAACTGTCCATCATAGAATAGATAAATACGGGATCCCTAACGAAAGCCCAACACGGCAAAATTGAAAATGTTGCAGGCTCGGTTTGATTGTGCCTTTTTATGGACGGTACAGGAAAGTGCAAGTTACCGTCCACGCCCCCTAGCACCGGCTTAAGCAGAATTCAACATTTAAACACTAAAATGGTGAAATTTTGAATTTAAAAACATCCACATATGTGTTCATACGGCGGTTTTCATGGAACCTTCAATGTGACACAGTAGTGTCATTCCATGAAAATCGGCGTATGGTCCCCAAGTAATAAAAAGCGTGTGCCCTAAACGAGAAAACAATGGGCGGAACTAAATAAAATTGAATTTTGAAAGGGGATCAGAGGTTATGAAGCCTGCGTATCACAGATAAGACGTCAAAAGATAAATTTAAAAAGCAGGCAACATATCCTAAGGGTGATTCAACATTATTCAAGTAGGAATATTGGAACCACCCAACTAGAAAATGCCGAAAAGTTGAAACTAAAAATACCACAAGCACAACAATAATGTCGTGCTGAACGATCTTCAAGGATAGAAAATATAACATCATTGATTAAATGTACGGGGAGACTTTTTACAGCCACCACACGGCACAAATAACACGGATGTGATCAAAAAATAGATAAATATGGAATCCCTAAAGAAAACCTAACACGGCAAAATTGAAAAAGTTGCAAACTCGGTTTGATTGAGCCTGTTCATGGACGGCACAAGTTACCGTCCACGCCCCCTAGCACCGGCTTAAGCAGAATTTAACATTTAAACACTAAAATGGTGAAATTTTGATGTGTTCATACGGCGGTTTTCATGGAACCTTCAATGTGACACAGTAGTGTCATTCCGTGAAAAGCGGCGTATGGTCCCCAAGTAATAAAAAGCGTGTGCCCTAAACGAGAAAACAATGAGACTCCCACTTGGTCCGTCAGATGTAATCAAGAGGAAAGCGTAGTGTCCAACTGTAAAAGGGGTGAACACTTATTATGCAGTATGTCTTCAAATAGTAGGGTCATAACCTATTTTAATAAAACGTATAATGATTTTAGTAAAAACAGCAGAAAAGTTACCATGACCCAAAATCTTACGAAGTTTGTAAATCACATCGCCATAATAACCAGGCTAGCTAATCCCTTGTCGCAGAAGAGTTTTTAAATCACTATTGAATTAAGAAATTAAATCAAAGTTACGATTGTAAACTTTAGTAAAATATTTGTAAAACATTGAAATATGTACAGCTAATTATGCTGAAGATATTGTACGTTTGACTGTTCGACTGGATTTCACGTCACATCAACACATTATAGATCATATAACGACTTTTTAGCTTTATTGATGGAGAAAGACCTCACATGGAAAAAGTCACTGTCGGGCTTCGAACCCACATCGGTGAGAGGCATGTATTTTGAAGTCAACGATCTTCACCTCTCTCCAACGGACGCCCAATAGATATTGTAAGAATTTTTAAATATTTCATAAAGAAGATCGTTGAAAACAAAATGTATAAACAAGAGCTGTCACGAAAAAGTGACGAATGTCCCCGAAAAGATTTCTTAAGCATTGCAGAAAGGTATGATGAAAAGAAAAGAAAATGAAGGTAACCAATTGCCTAATATTGTTCCTGTGAAATGAAGTGCTATTTATAGCAAACTTACCATGGATATAGAATACAACACATTTTCTTGATGTGGTAGTCATTTGTGCCAAGTTATTTTGAAATCTTTCAATGCATGACAATGTTACAGTTTGGAAACTTATACCTTATGTACCTTCTACCATTTTTATGGACATAAGTACCTTCAAGCTATGAGAGTGACCTTGACATTGGAGGTAGGAACATGGGTCTTGCACACAGTTACAGTGCGGACACGAATGTGTATTTCAAACCTTTCTTGAAAATGAGTACCTTCTAACTGAAAGAGTGACCTTAGAGTGAGCCTGCAACATTTTCAATTTTGCCGTGTTGGGCTTTCTTTAGGGATTCTGTATTTATCTATCTTAGAGGTAGGGACATGGGATTTGAACGCTACATGTCGTCTTCATGTGGAAGACATTATATGCTACGTTATTTAAAGATCCTTTCGTGCATAAAAAGTAACAGTCCAGACACAAATGTGAATACCTTTAAACTCTACTTGTGAAAATGTGAAACCTTTAAAACTGTAAGCGCGACCTTTACCTTTGACTAACGGACATGGGTCTTTCACCATGACATGTTTGTGCCAAGTAATTCTAAAATCCTTCCATGCATGACAAAACTACAGTTTGGACATAAATGTGTAACTTCAACCTCAAAGTGTGACTTGGATGTTGCACGTATTCATTATCCCTCATGTACAGACTAAATCAAACCGAGTTTGCAGTTCCCTTGTTACTTTGCTGTGATTCATGCTTCCAAGGGATCACATTGTCTCCAGATTTTTGACCTATTAGGTAGTGATATGGGCCTTAAGACGACACATTGTCTGGATTGGTGGACAACTGTACCAAGATTTTTAAATTCCTTCAATGAACAACAATGTCACAGTCTGGACAGAAATATGTAAACCCTTCAAATTATAAGTGTGGCCTTGACCTTGGTGGTAGGGAAATGGGTCTTGGACTAGACAAGTCGTTTTGATGTAGTAAATGTTCTTGATACGTTATTTTAAATCCTTTCACGTATGACAAAGTTACAATCCGGACACCAATGTGTGTGTCTATAATCTCTTATTGCGATAGCGAGAACCTTCAACATGAAGGTGCGACCTTGACCTTTGAAGAAGGGACGTGGTTCTTAGACGCCACATAAGGTAGTGATGTAGTTGACATTTGTGCAAAATTATTTTAAAATACATGATGAAGTTACGGTCTGCACACGGTTTAAGTGGGGAAGCACGGACGGACGGGTGTGAAGACAAATGTGCCAAATTATTTTAAAATCCTTAAATGCATGACAAAGTTACAGTCCTGATATGAATATGTGTACCTATAATCACTAATTGTGATCAAGTGAAACATTAAAATGTTAGTGTGTCATTGAAGTAGGACCGTGAATTATAGAAGCGACACATTGTATTGACGTGGTTTACATTTATGCCAAGTTATTTTAAAAACATCGATACATTACAAAGTTACAGTCCGTACACGAACGTGTGTACATATAAACTCTAATTATGAAAAGGGGAAAAAGGGAAACTTCAAAATGTTAGTGCGACCTTAAACTTTTGGGTTTGACGTGATTCGTTTTTACCGCTTCTTACAGTTACGTTATAAGATGTGATATCATTTTTTATGACCCTACACTTTTATACTGGTCCTGCAGCACCTTTGAGAACTAAATAAAATTTGAACTAACCTGCTGCAGGTGTTGGTGTGTGAGGCTGTTTTTGTGTAGTTGTTGTTGTTTTGATCGTTGACGGAGACGTTATGATGGGTAGAGGAGTTGATGCCACTGAGGCATTGTTTGTTACATTTCCGCCGGGTCCAGATGGATTTTGTGTAGTCATGCCATTTGTTTTGTTTGTTGTAACTCCGGAGCCTAATCCATTTGAACCATTTGCGCCGGATCCAGATGGAGTTTGTGTAGTTATGCCGATTGTATTGTTTGTTGTAACCCCGGAGCCTGTTCCATTTGAACCATTTCCGCCGGATCCAGATGGATTTTGTGAAGTCACGCCATTTGTGTTGATTGTTGTAACTCCGGAACCTGTTCCATTTGAACCATTTACACCTGATCCAGACGGATTTTGTGTAGTTATGCCAATTGGGTTGTTTGATGTAACTCCGGAGCCTGTCCCATTCGAAACATTTCCGCCGGATCCAGATTGAATCTGTGTAGTCACGCTAGGAGGGTTATTTGTTGTAACTCCAGAGCCTGTTCCATTCGAACCATTTCCGCCGGATCCAGATGGATTTTGTGTAGTAATACCAATTGTGTTGTTTGTTGTAACCCCGGAGCCTGTTCCATTTGAACCATTTCCGCCGGATTCAGATGGATTCTGGGTAGTTACACCAGGAGGTGTATTTGTTGTTTCTCCAGGGCTTGTTCCATTCGAACCATTAACGCCGGTTCCAGATGGATTTTGTGTAGTTATGCCAATTTGGCTATTTGTTGTCACTCCAGAGCCAGTTCCATTCGAACCATTTTCGCCGGATCCAGATGGATTTCGTGTAGTAATGCCAATTGTGTTGTTTGTTGTTACTCCGGAGCCTGTTCCATTTGAACCATTTCCGCCGGATCCTGATGTATTCTGTGTAGTCGCACCAATTGGGCTATTTGTTGTCACTCCAGAGCCAGGTACATTCGAACCATTACCGCCGGATCCAGATGGATTTTGTGTAGTAATGCCAATTGTTTTGTTTGTTGTTACTCCGGAGCCTGTTCCATTTGAACCATTTCCGCCGGATCCTGATGTATTCTGTGTACTCGCACCAATTGGGCTATTTGTTGTAACTCCAGAGCCAGTTCCATTCGAACCATTTCCGCCGGATCCAGATGGATTTTGTGTAGTAATGCCAATTGTGATGTTTGTTGTAACTCCGGAGCCAGTTCCATTTGAACCATTTCCGCCGGATCCTGATGTATTTTGTGTAGTCGCACCATTTGGGCTATTTGTTGTGACTCCAGAGCAAGTTCCATTCGAACCATTTCCGCCGGATCCAGATGGATTTTGTGTAGTAATGCCAATTGTGTTGTTTGTTGTTACTACGGAGCCTGTTCCATTCGAACCATTTCCGCCGGATCCAGAAGGATTTTGTGTAGTAATGCCAATTGGGTTGTTTGTTGTTACTTCGGTGCCTGTCCCATTCGAACCATTTACAATTGATCCAGATGGGTTCTGTGTATTAACGCCAGTTTGGTTATTTGTTGTTACTCCGGAGCCTGTTCCATTCGAACTATTTCCGCTGGATACAGATTGATTTTGTGTAGAAACGCCGATTGGCTTGCTTGTTGTAACTCCGGAGCCTGTTCCATTCGAACCATTTCCATCGGATCCAGGTGGATTTTGTGTAGATATGCCAATTGTGTTGTTTGTTGTTGCTCCAGAGCCTGTTCCATTTGAACCATTTCCGCCGGGTCCAGTTGGGGTTAGTGTAGTAACGCCAGTTTGGTTATTTGTTGTAACTTCAGAGCCTGTTCCATTCGAACCATTTCCGCTTGATGCAGATGGATTCTGTGTAGTCACACCAATTGAGTTATTCGTTGTAACACCAATTGAGTTATTCGTTGTAACTCCAGGGGATGTGGAAGGTACTACAAATTATAAATAAAATTGACTGCCAACATCACTGTGAATGCATTTTCCAGTTGTATTGAGAATCATACTTTTAAAGAAATTTATTTAATCATTTCTATACGCCCGTTTCAAAATGGGCCATTAATCTGTATCTGCTACTAAAGTTAAAGTCAAATAGATAGGTCAAAGTTAAGATTAAAACAAAAGATGTAAGCAGGGACCATTAGTTATAATTTATCGTACCTATCACTACAAGTGTGACACATGTAATAAAGGTTAATATATGCAAGGTTAAGGTCACAAGATATGATAAAATGTTCAGAAGTTACATGGATATTGCCTAGAACATATCTCTTATATGCATAACATAACGGCGACATCTCAAGTCAAAAGTTTTTGTGACGTGAATGCTGCTCTTGTTATGTTCACGGGGGAGGGACTGTTACACGAAGAATGGAGTTCTTATGATAACTGCCGCGGAGATCCTGGAAAACGTTACGGACTTCTGTGGAAATTTTTTTATATATATATTTGGAGGACTCACAAGAAAAAAGATAATTTTTACCTTTAAATGGAGAGTTTGAAATGCTAAATTAAGCTTTAATAATCAAACTTGCACTACATGTTTTATTGTGTTTCAGAAAACCTTTAAGTCCATTTTCGTCGCCTTTTTGAAAATATCTGGTTGTTTTGAGAAGATTTCCAAATTACTTGCTCAATCGAACATATTGACCTTTTCATTTCTTTGTTGCTATACTTAATTTCTTAATTATAATGGAGAGTTGCAAACATAAAGCCCAGGCTAATACATGTGAATCTATACACGTTTTTTAATGTCTCGGAGTTCTTGTGATAACTCAAGAGATGTCCTTGAGTTTTTATGATAATTTTCGTTACTGTCAGTGTGTTTCTTGTGCTTAATTACGGCACTTTTAAGCGTATTTTATTATTTAATAAGTATTTAAATCATCATGAAACGTAATACGTTCATCTGTCATAAAATGTTGGTTTTAAGCGTGTTTTAGTTCAAACAATAGTTTTCTAATCCAATGAGTGCGAATTCTTTTTGACATTATAAAACCTAACGGGTGCATCATATATTTCTGTGGATACTGTTCGTCGATAATAGTTTTATGTCATAAGTTTCCGTTGAAATGAATTTACAGCAACGACATCGTTCTTGTGAAGAGAAATATATTTCTTCGCATAATAGACATGACAACGTTAAGTTACTATGGGATATATAGCTTGGTGTGTACAAAATTATTTTGTCACTTTAATTTTTAAGTTACTGTCATTTTTTCAAGATTCGGCTGTAAGAAAACCCCAAATCGCTTTAAGAATCGATTGAACATGAATCTGATTCGGTGAACAGTCTTAAAAGGATTAACAGGCGATAGGCCATCCTCTGGAAAACCCGACCCAGCAGTCACTTTCAGCAGAAACATGGCTTTAACCGCCAAGCAAAAGTTGTAAAAAACACTTTTTTCTCAGTTACAAGTTGTAAGCAACCGCCTTTCTTAAGCAGACAATATATAGTTGGGCTTCAAGAAGCGGCATAGTAATTTGTATAATTTAAAACCATAAACAACAAGCATATGAACGGGATACCCTTCACACCCATGCACCCGAAATATATGATCTTCTTACTTATAAAATGTCAACCGATCACTACCGATCTCTGACATTTGCACATGCACGTGCATGTGGGTTCGAGCGAAAAACGTTTGACCATATATTTTTGTTATCAATTACAGCAAAAGTTGTTGCAGAGTTTCCACAACTAGGATTATATAGTGGGAATGCCCGCAGGACTCCAAGTTTGATAAAAAATATTGTATGCAATAGTTTTCCGATATATGGAGATTTCTTTACGTCTCGTGATGCTACATAGGATTTAATAGAGCATGGAATAAGTTCGATAAACGGCATGAACCTTACTATTATCAAATACTTACTTTTTATTGTAATATCATTGTCATAGAACTTTATACGTTTCTATGACAAAAATTGATAGCTTTTAGAAATTAAGATATCCATTGAATACATAAAGATACCCACCTAAGGAAGTGCATATCACTTCCTTTTTAGTTTCAAACCATTTACATGTAGGCAGACCGATAGCATCATTACTTTAATGTTCTCTTAAACTGCCAGGAACAATGTATACATGAAGACACAATGCTTGAATGTTAAATTCAAAGCGTATTTTATCCTGTAAGTCAATGTTCTACATCAAGTATGTTTTCAGTCATTCCAATAAATGAAACATACACACACACGCACGCACGCACGCACACACACACACACGCACACACACACACACACACACACACACACGCACACACACACAAAAGAAACACAAAAAACACAAGAAACGGAATGTAGGAAAAATTTCTCTTGAACTGAAATATTCTCTTAACTAACGTTATGCAACCAAAGTTGTGTGCATATGATAAGCGTATTATGCTTCAAAATAATTTATACACTTATTGACTAATAAATACGCTTAAACATGCCGTAACATGAAACACACTGTCAGTAACAAAAGTTATCATACGAACTCCAGGACAATTTTAAGTTATAACAAGAACTCGGTAATATTTGAAATATCGGGTATAAATCTATCAGCCTGGGATTTATGTTTGTAACTCTCCATTATAATTAGGTAATTATATAAAGAAACGGAGAAGATCACAAATGAAAAGATCAATATCTACGAATGAGCAAGTGATTTGGAAATTTTACCAAAAACTACCAGATTTTTTTAAAGGCGATGAAAAATGGACTTAAAAGTTTTCTGAAACATAATTCAACATGTAGGGCAAGCTTGATTATTAAAGTTTAATTAAGCACCACAAACTCCCCATTTAAAGGTAAAAATTACAATATTTCACGTGAGTCCTCCAAGAAAATAGAAAAGTTTCCATAGAAAAAACTCCAAACAAATTATCCATCCCTCTTGTAACAGTTCTTCCCCCCATGATGTTTAAGTTTCAAATAACACTGTTGGCTGTGTTTGTCATATGGCGAGATCTCAGGTTTCATGGAGAAGATAACCATCAGTTGCTCTTCGGGGCTGGCACCTGATGTTGTCTTTTAAAAATCGTTTGAATACATTTATAAATATTTCGAATCAGTTTATTTTAGAATTGTCAGGTATGATAATGTTATAGACTATAATTCTGTATAGAATTGCCTTCGTAAACCATCATTTTGACATCCCTCGGAAAATGTAAAATTATTACGTAAACGATGGAAATATCTCAACTTACAACAACAGCCACACGTTACAGGACATGCCACTGCGTCATCAAGACATAAGCTTTTCGGGGTGTTTTTAAATAAGTGACAGCCGACTCCATCTACGCATTCGTCAGATTTAGTATCTAAATGAAAGAAATCTATAAAATACATTGCATTTTGAATATGATATTTTATAATCATTCATAATCATGTCTTTTTTCTTTCGTGAATTCCCGAAGTCGTAGTGATAAGAGAAAAATATTACCCCGAATTCAAAAATCTACTCAATATCATAAACTATTACATAGAGACTATATTAGAATTATAAGACATAAAAAAAGAAACTCTGACTTTTATACAAGAAATCATCATTATTAAAATAAGAAAACAAGTAATATACATATGTGATAAAATGTATGCAATATAAACCACTTTTCAAGAGTCCTTAAAACTAAAGCAGCTCACCTCCAGATCATGCTAATGCTAATGAAAGTGATGTCAACAAATAAAGAATTTTTCCCTAAGCAAACGGCACTTACAATCCACTTAAACTACCAAATAGAGGTTAAATATACAAAACAAAAACCGGTTGAACCTGATAATGCTCCCCGAGAAGGTTTGAGACACAGGAACGTATAAAAATGAACAAAGGGTAAAAACTCTAAAATTAGGCAAGTTATGATTTTTTGCACTGCACTTCTGTTTCGTGAAGGTATCTATTATTATAGTTTCAGAGTTATGTCCAGGGTAAAATTCAAAGTGTAAAAATGAACTTAGGGCAATAACTCTTAAATTAGACAAGGCTGTCTTAAGGTTCTTTAACATTTCAGTTCTATAAAATGAGATCTATATACCTACACAGTATATCATGTATATATATATATCTAATAGTTTCAGAGTTATGTCCCGAACAAAAGTCAAAAAGTAAAAATAAACAAAGGGCAATAACTTCAAAATAAGGCATGGCAGGGTTATGGTTCTTAAGCGATGCACTACTACCCCCCCCCCCCCCCCAATGAGACCTATCTACCTACAAATTTTCATGTTGACATCTATTATAATTTCAGAGTTTATGTCCCGGACAAAGTTCAAAGTGTCAAAAATGAACGAAGGGCAATTACTCAAAAATAAGGCATGATAAAGTTATGGTTCTCAAACAATGCATTTCTACCCGATGAGAATCTCTCTACCTACAAAGTTTCATGTTGATACAAAGTTCAAAGTGTGTAAAAATAAACAAAGGACAATGATTCAAGTATGAGGCAAGGCAAAGTTACGGTTCTTGTGCACTGCACACCTACTCAATGAGATTTATCTACCTACAAAGTTTAATGTTGATATCTCTTGTTAATTCCAAGTTGATGTCCCGGACAAGAAAAGCGGACAGACGGACGGAAAATCTAAACAGTAATAATGTGGCTACTCTATTGTTCTCTCTATTCTTTTTATATAGCCACCCAAAAGAAAATAACCACAAAAAGCATTACGGAATGAATGACATCAAAGAGAAAGAACAGTTACTTATTGTCCGTCTAGCCACATTATTACTGTCCCATGAGAGCGGATATACGGACGGACAGACGGACGGACGGACAAAGGGGCGACTATATGCTCACTCTTCGGAGAGCAAAAAAAAACCTTACTGCGTTAGTAACTCAGTTCTGAAAAATACTGCAAAATCTGTCATAAATCGCCATAATAGCATGACAATTATTATTTTGATCTTGAATCGTGTTTCTTTTCTTAAAATCTCATTTTTACACAAGTTCGATTTTTGTTGAATGTTAAGTCTCACCTTAAGGTATAGTAACAGCTTTAAAACTGCACCAAAGTACAACAGAATTAGCACAGTGTTTGGTTTGTATTTGATATCTCATCTCTAGACCCTGACCGTCTTAAATAAGCTGTTGATTTTTTTATAGACGACTTTCATTGCTGTTTTGTTTACAATTAATCTGAGTATTTCGTAATTTTGACTAATGGTAAAAATATAAATTCAGATATGACTAATGACATGTTTCTGTTTCATGTTAAAGCTGCATACCTCCAGATTAGCAAAAATATTTCAAGGAATCAAACTTGAAAAAAAAATGTAATATGACTTTAATAAAGGTAAAACTGATTCAAGCGTAAAGCAATAATTCATATGTTATATATGCGATCAATGACTGATTATACAGCATAAATCACCATATTTTTACTGCGTGACCGACGCAGTTATGGCTATTTTTGTATATTTTGACTTATTTTAGGGTAATTAACGTGGATTGTAAGTGTGTAAATTACTTGCTTTGCTGACTTATCAATAATTTACTCTTAAACGCATTTTCAAAAATTCATGAACATAAACAAAATGAAATTGTGAGACTTGCTACTTCAGGAAATTGTCATAATATATTCAGCGCCGATCTTAACATCCTCTCACGTAGTACAGTTAAATGCAATATTTCCACGTATATACAATTTCTATAATACGCCTTAATGACACCACAGGGCACAACTTGGAATCAGATGACTTTATATTGCATGACTCGGAATAACATATCACACAACATTACATAATTTTGAATAACTTGAAAATTCTTGACATGAAAAAATGTGACGACACATAACGTATAATACGAAATAACGAGACAGCGCATGGCACGACGTGTTGCATATGGCGTTTGTTTGTTTGTTTGATTGGGTTTTACGTCATGTCGACATAGTATAGGCCATTTGGCGACGTTCTAGCTTTACTGATTGAGGAAAACCCAAAGCGCCCTTCCCTGCATTATTTCAGTCACGAACGGGCACCTGAGTAAGACCACCGACCTCCCTTAAGCTAGCTGGATAGCCCCCTCAAATGAAATAATCCAAAGTCCCTGTCGGGACTCGAACCCACAGCGTTTAAGGGCAAGTGGTTTGATGTGAACGACCTTTACCACTCGGCCACGGACGCCCCGGTTCATGGCGTGTCACACAATATACCACATGACGTGATGTGTCATGTATGACGTCACATGATGTCACATGACTCAAACAATTTAATATGGTAAAAAACTCGTATTGTGTATACATCAGTTGAAAAACACTCTTCCAAAACGATACCTACTATGCAAGCTACAGTTCACTTGAAAATCCACGAAATCTGTTACGAAAGAATAAAAAGAAAACGATTGACATTTCCATTCATAATGTATTATTGACGCAACAATGTAGAATTCTAACGATATGTTTAAGATAAGGTATCAGCCATTATAAATGCTCTTTACAAAATTCTGATTTAGTTAATAATCAACTACATATAAGAAAACTTGACATTTATTTCACACTTTTTCAATAAATTATTGATATAAAAATGATATATTTTTGATTGTATATATAAAACCATTAATAATAGATGATAAATTTCGAATGAAAATGACACACCCAAAAAATAATTGAATGTCAGACTGCAAACAATTTAGGATAATTCGTTTTGATCTGTCTTTTGTCATGTCACAACCTGGTGACTTTAACGCTTTATTGTACTCCATCGTATTAGCCAACCCCTTCCCCAACCCTGCAACACATACGCTTGTTTTCAGCTCAAAAGTACCCACATTTAAAATTTTTGATTTCGCAAAGGTAGCTTTCCATTTTATCTTTTCGTGACCTGAATGATTTAACTACTTGGTGGTTGGAGGCAAAAAAATCAAAGACAGCTAGCTTGGAATTTAATAAAATTAGTGCCTACAGTACTTTGATTCTTGCAAAATTATGAAAAATATGTAACATACCTGGACACATCTCGCTTGAGCAAACATCTTCTTCATGATTCTCTCCATTACAAAAGTCTTCATCAGAGCATTTTCTATAACGACTCATTTTGCATGTATTATTTGGCCTTAACTGACACTCCCAGCCACTCCAGGACTGCCATGTTGGTTCTGTATTGCATGAATATAAAAAGAAAATATAATAATATTATTACACATGAATGACGATGCAGTTAATAACACGTGATAAACTATTGAAGCAAAACGACTAGTGATTAACGATTAAAGTTTTATGACACGTGATTTTTTTTGTTTATTGTATACTTAAGGACAATGAAAACGCACGCCCGCACTATATGCATTTTATTACATGAAAACAAAACACTAACGACTCCATTAGATATATATCATTACTTAAATACAAAACGCAAACTTAACAACTGAAAATAATTCAAAAGGTTATAAATTAAATGTACACCAGTATATTGAAGAACCTAAGGTGAAAATCCCAAAATCACACTTTTTCATGACAGTAATGCAAACCTCACAAAGGCAAAAACCGAAATGAAAATCAAAAACAAAGTCACTCATAAATGTTTATTCGTAATGTCACCGTCGGGATCTTTAGAAACGACAATATCCTCCATCAGCGTCTCTTACAGATGTACATCGTCGCATCATAGACCTTACGGTGCGTATAGCGCCTGTGGAATCTGACGCCATTCGGCGAAAACGCTGGTGAAACAGAGAAATTGTAGACCGATGGACACCAAAACGGTTTGCACTTTGTTTGTAAGATAGACAAGACTAAATATGTGCTAAATCTACCCAGCGGTTATTTCTTTGAAGATCCATTGCCAAGTCTTCAGTAGTGTTTGAAATTTAGCACCTTATACAGAGGAAAAGTGTGTATATGCAATTTCTATGTGAGCTTTTACAATTTCTAAAACTGACCATTGGCATAGTTTAATATTCATTTTCATAAAGATTTTAATTGCTCATTTGTTTCTAACATTTCTAGAAAGTTATGAAAAAAAGTTAATAATTAACAGCTTAAAAAAATAATAATTATTTAATTTCATAAAGTAACCATAAATTGGTCCAATTTGTTTTATCACAATTAGCCAAATGTGTTACTTTTGATTTTTCGGGTACTGTCTTTATTATGCAATAACTTCATTAAAATGCAATCATTTTTTATAACTTTGGTATCGAAATAACTGGAATGCATTCGTTTTTATGAAACTGTGAACAAATATTTAAAAGAAATTTATTTTCCTTGTTAAAATGCAATTATCCCGACCGTGCGTTTTCATTGTCCTTAAGTATATATGGACACATGATGACCGATTAATTTAAAAGTTTAATGACACGTTATTTTGTTAATGGTATAATTGAAACATAATAACCTATTAAAGTAGATGTATTTTCAACGATTACAACATATTACTTGGTTTTGTTTTCAAGTAATTTTGTAGATATGTCCTGTATGTTAGATTTTTTTTGTAAAGTAATGTATAGTCTCTTATAACTCATCTCTGGCATATACATGTATGTACAATGTTGTAGGTTTATATTTGTATTGTTTTAATATTGTACATGATGATGAGACTTTAATAAACTATCTTATCTTATTTTAATGATTTTCGTTTATCGTATATGGACACTTTAGTAAAGGTAACAAAATAATGACACATGATTTACGCTAATCCTAAATGGACACAATCATGACTAACGACCTGAATAACAAAAATGGCAAAGATAAAAAATGACACAATGTATTAAGTAATCGGTGCTGATTTGTACGTGATTTTTTTGTGATTTGTGTGTGGCAAAAAAATAAAGAAAACATACAACAACAACAAAAATAAACAATAGAAATTATCGTTCAGGCTATATTTCTGCCATTAAGTCTATTTGATAGCATCCGAGTATAAAACAGACAGCTATGTGTTTTGATGTTTACCCTTTTCGATATCGTAGGCAAAAAATCCGTTAAATCTTACTTTCCTTGTCGAGTCACATTATGAGGCCCAAGAATAAATTAACCAATGAACGAGCAAATGAATATGATTTTTTCTACCGTTATCCTTTTTCCTAATACAAAACACACCAGAAAAATGTAGCCAATCAACGAGCTCGCCAACAAACAGTAATTTATGTAATTTCCAAGACTGCTTTTAACAAAAGAGCTGTCAGGTGACAGAATAGTAATTTAACTCTTGACACATCGTTTTAAATAGAAAAGTCTCCAATCTATGATAGAACTTTTATTAACACTACCCATTTTTCTTCTTCAATTTGGTTTTAAGTCGCACCATTAGAGTATAGGTCATATGGTGACTTTCCAACTTCATTGGTAGAGGGAGGACCTCAAGTGCGCCTCCGTGCATTATTTCAGGCTCAAATGGATAGCTGAGTAGGACTTACGTTCCATAAGCTAGCTGGATAGCTTCCTCACATGAGAAGTGACGAGAATGGTACATTAATCTATAGTCAATATAATATTAAAAGCTGTATTCACATTTCGGTTGTCAGTGTCGCAAGGTTTTGATTTAAAGTCTTTTTCTGTTTAGATTTACGAAAATAATTCAATCTTTGTGGGCTTACTTACAGTTTAGTGTTATGAGACCCTAGGTGATGTGATATCTAAATCAATCAAACATAATGTAAAATCATAATTCTCCTGGTCTCATTGGTCACTTTAATTCTTAAAAGCCAATAAGAGATGTGTTTGTGTGTTTGGTTTATGATGCACCGATGGAATTTAAGAACATATTGCGCTGAAACAGGAAAAGTGACCGAGTGTTACAAACTTAAATCAAACTATTTCGAAGAGATGTATAGACTCCAATAATTAAAACTAATTTAGTGGCCTCTTCCGGTACGCAGGGATAAACGGTTGTTGCAATTCTGATACCTCAACATTTCAGGGCAAACCTTCAGCCACAAGGGGAAAAAAGAGATGTGAACAAGTCATGTCTATGAAGTTTACAATATGTTTGTTGTAGAAAGACGAGGCTATCGAATATGAACCCCCGAGTATTATTCAGGTTACCGAGTGTGTTGATGTCCTTTATCTTCTTCATAGGCTAGGAAAAAACAAATAAAAACTACACATACCGTGCTTTCACAATAAGTAACCCCCCAAAAAACTTTACACATTTACGATGATATGTATATGACTTTTTATTATTATCCCTTTCCCTGTCGTAACAATAGGTAAACCCCAGAAACAAATGAGCCAATCAACGAGCATTTCTGTGCGGATAACCAAAACCTGCACTCCAGTTAACGCACTGTGAATGTATGGGTATATAATATAATTCTGACGCATTTTCCAACAGAAAGGTTCTCAAACTATTAAAAAAAAATAACTAAAATATACATCACCTGGACAGAGATGTTCATCGCAAGCAGCCTGTCTTACTGATATGCCCTCACAATCTGTTGTATTTCCAGTCGAACATGTTCTGTCCTGTTTCATTCTACACATTGTCTTTGTTCTCTCACACCTCCAGTCACTCCAACTTGACCATTCAGGATCAACTGCAATATGATTAATGGAAAAGAGAAAACATTTTAAAAAAAAAAATAAGTTTTTTTCCAAGTGATATTTTTTACAATTTCATATCTATAACAGTGTTAATATTCCATTAACCATGTTTGTCTGTACGCATCGGAAACAGACATTGCACGTAACATTTTTTTCGCGCAGAAGTTAAAAATGCACATCTTAATCAACCCAAAGACCTTCCGTATGTCAGACAGATGTTTCTTATCCAAACTATCTAGTGGGACTCGTCACTTATTTTTTGGTTTCGAAGTGTTTTAATAAATTGGTTGATATAAAGTGTAAGACAAACATATCTGTAGCTTGTCACGGTTCACGATTAGGGGAGAAGATGTGTAAGCGGCCAGATAGCTCAGTCCGTAGAGCCGCCGAACGGTGTTCAGAGGGTCCCGGATTCGATTCCCGATGAGGCTGCACAGTTTCCTCACACTGTGTTAAGTTCGATACTGGTTATGATATAATTGTTCCAAAGTTATGTTTAGATTATACGGATATTACGGTAATACCGGGATTTAGCAAAGTAACCATGAAAATGTGTTACACAATCATTCCAAATATTAAATTATCTACAGTGTGTTCTGGAATGGGTCAACTGTTGATAGCTGCAAACAGTTATTATTAATAAACGTGTACCAACCTGGAGTAACATTGGTAACAATCAATTTGAAAAAGATTTGTCTTTAGACGTATTAATTTTAAATGCAAGACAGCCCTTCATTGTTTAAAAATGAGAAACAAATGATGTGTGAAGGCAAACTTACCATGGCAACAGCCACATGCTTTTGGGCAAATCTTTCTTGCTACATGGGAATCTGCTAAACACATTAGCCGTATGCTTGGATTTTTGCACGTGTCGGCGTCAAGACAACTAGATGAATCTGAAATAGTGAACTGCATTTAAACATGCCTTTAACAAAGCATGAACGTTCTTTATTGGCCGCAATTTTTCTGACCATTCCCAACACTTATGCTTAATAAAGACAAACAAATCTCTCACAATTTCATTACCTTCATTTTAACTGATAAAAATCTTAAAGTGTTGTGTTGTTACATTGTGTATCTTAATTCATAGACACGAATTTAATAATGCACCAAAATCAGCTGTCAATATTGCTTTTCCATATTATTGCATCATCTTCTATTGATTATTGACCCCGAAATGGACACCATTTTTGCAAGTGAGGTACATAGTGTCAAAGTCGGGAACTCACAAATCTTTTTCAGTTGTTGATAAGAAAATATGAATATTTGTGAAATAAATTCCATTTCAATGTTCAGTATGATTGCTGCATAAATTAAAATTCAGTAACTTTATTACGAAAGGAAAGTAAACTTGGCACCCGACAAATTAACCACGATGAGAAATGGTTGTAATGTAATGAAAAACATTTATATACAACGTTTTAAGATTCTATAAATAATTTAAACAAAGCACGATTTCATTGTCCTTAAACAAGAAACAAATCCACATAATATAGACATGTTCAACGTTTTATAAACATATAACATGAAGGATTACATATATAATATCATTATGCATCTACGGACACACATTGCTGAAATGACAATCATATGAATTATAAGCACTGAGAATTTCTCTGTTCGAAAAGCACAATCTCTATTGAATTTCTTTCAGTATGTTTTAACGAATAAAAATCTCTATCTCTCAGTTAAAATATAAACAAATATTAGCAATTGATTTAAATATATTTGTTTTTGTTTATTTTATTGTATGCAAAAAATGCTGCAGCTACTATAACCCAATTGATATCAAAATAAGGAATATTGTCACACATTTTCACAGTATTTGCATTTTCGTTGATATAACTTATAAATTTATTTATGTAAACTTCAATACATTTAATCCTTATGACCACAGTGTTTTAAAGTCTGTAAAAAATTATTATTCTTTAGAACAAATGAGCATTAGCATTTCTTACATTGAAATATTGTTTATCTTACCGAGCCCCTTACAATAACCAAGCTGTCCAAGTTCATTCAGTTCTGCAGAGGAAAGATTAAAATAAAGACTAAGACTAGATATTTATTACAAACCATATCAAAAATTGTACTACAAATGTTTAAAAAATTAAAACACAAACCACATTGGCACAAAATTCACAGTTTTTAGAGAAAACAAATATCAGACGGGAATTATCAAAACGTGTTGCATTGGCCCCAAAGAGCTTATCTGAGGAGGTACTTCTATTAAAAGCAGTGTAAGCATGTTTCCTGTTATAAACATTGTTCTAATTTCAAAATTGCGCATTAAAGACTAAATTGCCTACCACTAGATCAATAAATACGTTATCTTATATTAGATTTCAATTTCATACTTGCACATGGTTAAATACTATAGCTGAACGTTAAATAGGTCACTTGTGTAAAATTTAAGTCAGCTGATATCAAAGTTAATTGTGCAGCAGCATTAAAGACTAAAGTGCAGGTCACTTGATCAATAATTAGGTCATCTAAAATTAGGTTTCAATTTCATACTTGCACATGGTAAAAATGCTATAGCTGTACATTAAATAGGTCACTAGTTTAAAATCTAGGTCAGCTGATATCAAAGTTCAATTGTGCGCAAGGTCCAACGGCATCTATAGCTATACATCAAAGGACAAGAAAGTATGTCATCTTGTCAAAATGTAGTCCAGCTCATTTCAAGGCCTAATTCTACATCTCAAATCGTGCATATTCGCTTAATTCACAAGCTGTATATCAAATTACAAAAATATAGGTCACCGCGTCCGCTGCGACAGGGCCAATTGTGGCCCCAATACATTATATAAACAATCATGATACAAAATAACCAGATAATATTTTATGTCAAATATCTAAACACTAGCATTTTCGTTTCAAAAAAACAAATTGTTTTCCATTAATGTACATAAAGAGAAAGCATGACCCTATTGTTTTGAAACACTTGATAATTAAAGTAATAACAAATTTATCATTTTGACTGTCGCATTACAAATTATGTGCAAAATATCATTATCATCCTCGACTTTTTACAGAAACGCAAATTTAACAAAAAACAGTCATATTCAGAAAATCAGAAACTTTCAATAGATTTAAACTTTTGTCAATGCTTCCTAAAAATTTACCCAATGTTTGAAATTATTATTGTACTGTCGATTTACTAAGATTGGTCAAATTTAGCCGATTTACTAAAGTAATGGACAAGGAATAATTCCAAACACTAAAAAGACATAATTATTACGTACCGGGACACGTGACATTATCACATGATTTACGTTCAAGAGAGCCGAAGCCGCACTGAGTATCAGCACCAGTTGAGCATTTTCGAGACCTGGTTTTTGTGCATGCTCCATCTTTCTCAATTCTGCATGTCCAATCACTCCATTCTGACCAGTTAACTGCATGTTAAACAAAATGCTACGAAAACTAGATCTAATGTCACCATCGGCATCTTTTTAACAACATAATTATCACGGAACACAATCATTTCATCAAATACATTTTGGTAACAAAACATGTAAGTTAACTTGTTTTTAAAACTGCAGACGAAGACAAGGCAATTTTGAAATTATTTCCAACCTTTAATCATTATGTCATATATATAATTTTGCGTATTTCCAGCAAGTTGTTTGGATAAAAAATACCTTAATGCTCACAGTAACTATTATTGCTCTTTAATTTTCGTTTCACAACATGTATAATATTAAAACATTTTCTTTTTCAGTGGTCAGTGAAATTATATTACATAACAATCATCAAATATTATTTACACATTAGCCGGAATCTATATAGAAACACACCGTTGTAAGTAAAATGAAACCACATGGATATACTTTTATCATTTTATAATGAAACTTTATTCGTAAAAGCTACAAGAACAATATGACGTCACGATAAGATGGCGTCATAGATGAGAGTAATATCATTACACAACAAAAGTCAGAAAACATGACTTAAAACCCATACAAAAATGAAATAAATAGAAATAAATAAGTTTGCTTTCAACATGAGTGAAATATATGTCGATCTTAATGATACATTTGGTATGTAAGATCGACATATATTTAACTCGTGAACACCAATTTCTGTTATGTTTTATCTTTACAAAACAAACAACTATCATATATATATACCCAAATATATGTTTGCCTATCCAACACACAAATATCCTATCTAACCACTGAACTACATAACTATTTGAACTTATCCTTCAAATGATAAACCAATTTCAAAATTAAATAAAACCCCGTCTTGCCTCCGCTGAAATAATCAACTTAAAGCCTAAAGTAAAAAAAAAACAAATCGACTTAAACCCGGAAATAATAATCCCTATAATTCCGGCCATTTGTCCAAACCATGTACTGATTATCCGACATACGATTCAAATAATTTTCTTGAATTACCCGCGGAAAAGTAAATCATCATGTTGACCAAAATCACAGGCTACTACAAACAGATCTGACTTTAAAGATCAAGTCCACTTTAAGGTCAAGTGCATACTTGATGTTTGATTTATCCTAGATGGAGGGTATTCCAAATATCAATTAGAACAGTAAATTTATAATAACAAATTTATTGTTATTTTAGCTAAATTCAATTTTGTGCCCATAACTGTCAGGGTTTTTTTCAAGGTCATGGTCAAACGTGAAATCCTCTTGCATAGAACAAAGGTCAAACAAAAGTGAAAGTGCAAATGAATCTAATTATATATAAAGCTTTATGTAACGGGTTGTTTTGTCAAGTATAAATAAATTATCTCTACCAATAACATTTATTTTACAAGATATATCCAATTTTAGCCTAGGTTTACCTTGAAGTTCAAGTTTCAAGGTTGTATTCCTAATTTAACGAGACACGCATGACATTGCTATCATGACAATAATCGGTTGAAATGTTTATAACTGGAAACCCACTGAGGCAGCAAGACCCAAGATGGAAAAACAGTCGGAATGACGGACAGCTTCATACCCCCTTACAACTATACTTAAATTGTGCAGGAATTAAAAGGGAGCGAAAATAATAAAACTGATCTTTCTTTAACCTTACAAAGTAAAGTTTCTAAGATAAGTCACTGTATTGTTAGACCTCCTGGCCTTTAGATAATGAACAATAAAACTCTTAATTAAATCACCTCAACGCTTAAATCATTTTGCTATCAACCCGCTTAACCACATCATTATGTACTTGTATAAGAACTATGCAGTTACAAAGATATTACTTTTCCACACGAAGGAAATTAACGAAGGTAGCATAGGTCAAGATCATTAAACAAGCTAAACCAGAAACAGTTCAATACCTGGACATATTTCTTTCCTACAAGGTTCCACATGAAAGTGCTCCCCTCCAAGTTTCTTCTCACAATCATCGGTTTTATACGTGGAGCAATTTCGTGTGCGAGACATCAAACATATAGAGGAGGAGACATTTTTGCATTCCCACTCCGTCCATTCAAGCCAGTAAATATAAGCATTTGTCAACGCCCCCGTGGGTTTGCTTGTACTTAATGGTGTACTAGTTGCCGTGTTTGTTAAGATAGTTGTTTGACTTAAATTCATATTAAATGATGTAGCCGATGGAGTTGCTGTCTTAAGCTCGGATGTTGTAGGTGAGGGCTTCGAAGTGGATGCAGTCGCAGTAGATTCAGTATGGGGATTTTGACTTAAACTTATTGACATCATGGATACTTCTGTAGTTGGTGTGGCATGTAAACTTGGATTTCCTGACCCCATGACTGCAGTTTCTTTTAGTTCCTTTGTTGTTGTTGTAGAAATTGATGTTGTAGGTAAAACGGCAACTTGAGTTGCAAGTGTTGAACTTGTAACTATGGTTTTATAATGTAAAAAAACAAAACAATTTACTCACTATGTATGTTACTAAATGTATAATCCAAGGTAAGGAAAGGCAATTATTATATTTCAGAGAAAAAGAAAAAAGAGGGAAAAAACATTATTGCACAAATTTATTTTTTTACAAAATGAATTACCCAAAGTATCTGACTAACTAAGTATGTTACAAAAAAGTTAAAGTCAGGAAAGACATTCAGAGCTTTTCAGACAAAATTTGAAGTAAGAAACAACTAAACAATTGCTTCTTTCGGACAGAAATAACTCTTGCAATGATAATCATAGATAGTTTAAGAGAGAAGACAGTCTTTTGAGTATCGTTCGACCCAAAACAATGTCTTGATTGTTTTGAAAGTGATTTGCATAATATGATCGCATAAACAGCAACTTACCGTTGCAAGATTCGTCACAAAAAGTCTGTTCATAACCTTTCCCTTGCAGATTCAAGCAATCATTTCCTTTAAATCCACTTACACAAGTTCTTTTGCGTAATTTTAAACAGACATTTTGGTCAGTGTGACAGGTCCATCCGCTCCAAGGCGACCATTCTGCAGACGGAATTGTTATATTTGTACATGTACACGTTCTTCCTTACATTTCATCAAATGTCATAACAATGACATTTTATGTTGCAGATCAAATTGTTTATATCTTTCTACATGTTATTAATACTATCTGATCAATAAATTAATGCTGAATAAAGTCATTTCTTTTGATGTGATTTTATTTTGCACATGCGGCGGTAGTGACCGAGTGGTTAAGGTCTTTGTCTTCGAACTACTTGCCCATGAATGATGGCGGGTGTATAGTCCCGCAAGACACTTTACGTTCGTTCTTGTGATGTAACGATCCATCTAGCTTATGATACGTCAGTGATTCGTTCTGTACCAGTAAAGCTGGTAGTGGCCAAATGAACTTATCAGTGACGTGTCACCTGCAATCGTGTTTCATGTACATAAATGGGTTGTAAGTGTTATGCAGCATTTAAAGGATAAAGAAGTTTTTTTTCTTTCTATTAGAATTAACTAAAGCGATTAAATCATGTTCGTATTGAATCTACTGAAAACCCCAAAATGAGTGCCTACTAAAAATTTTAAGTATTCTTACTCTTTCTTTTCAAAAGGGTATAATAAAATAAACTTTTGAAAAGATATACGGTATACAACTATAAACTGTGAAACAAATTTTTAGAATATATATGTATCATTTAATTTTTGACGCTTAGTCAATAAATAAATGTGTGAAAACCACATGTTCAATTAACATAAAAATTTAATAATCTCATGTTAGCAGAGTGGGTGAGGAGGTGGAATGGGGTAAAGGGAATTGCATCCAGAAATACACCTGTTATCCTTCACTCACTCCTTTTAAAGGTTATGATAAATAACTTTAAAATATAACAGGAATATATAAACTGTGAAACAAACATGTATCATTTAATTATTGACGTTAAATTAATAATAAATTAAGCAAATACATTTCGAAAATGCACCTGTTCAAATGAAATAAAATTTAAATACAACTTAAAATCGCAGAGTGTGTGCAGATGTGGGAACGGGTGGGGTATTGCACCAAAACATGTTTTAGTATGCATTTCTTACAGCTTGAATTTTGTCACATAGGATACACTGAGATTATATATTGAACGTTTGCAATAGCCTATAGTCCAATGTCTTATATCCGTTGTGCATAAAAATGTCAAGATTTTCGAAATAGTAGTGCATGTGCGAGAACAGACCCGCCAGTTCACGATTACCAGAGATTATAATAACTCGCTTTCAAAAATGCACTCAACCTTTCTAAGAAACGAAATGATAGTTCAAAAACGAAGTTATACCTGCAGCACAAGGGCAGTTTGTTACAGTGACTTCACTTGTTTTTGAACAATTGAAATCAGCGGTTGAATTACATGTCCGACTTTTAAAGCAAAAATCTCCTTGTTTCTTACAACTCCAATCCGACCATCCGCCTTTATGTTCTCTAATTGTATCAGTATCTAGGGAAAATTGTAAAATAACAACAGATTAACAAAACATAACCGCAAAGGTTTACTCTTTGTGAAAAAAAAATGCAGTTTAAATGCAAATTATCTGTTTGTACATATAAAATGTTTCGTATAATGTAATGATGCCTTTTTTCATCTATATTTGTTTCTACAACGTCCTAAATAAACGTGATCCCCTCTTTATTCCTTCTCACAATCATCGGTTTTATACGAGGAGTAATTTCATGTGCGAGACATCAGTGAAATTGCATTCCCTTTTTGTCTATTCAAGCCAGTTAGTTAATTATATAAGCAGTCGACGACTGTCCTGTAGTATCACATTTACATAAAGTTTTCTGGTTGTCATGTCACTGACGTATGATATAATATCATATCAAATAAAGCAGTTTATGGAATTCATGACTTAAAGTTAGTTTGTAGTAGCAGCAAATGTAGAAGTGGGTTTCTGACGAAACTGTTTTGACGCCGTGGGTATTATTGTAGTTCTGTCTTAGTGGGTGGTGTATATAACCCTGAATATACTGACTTCGTGGTTCTAGTATATATTGATGCCTTAAGTGGCTCTTGTAGTAGTTGATGTTGTACATGAAAAAGCATTATGAGGTGCAGGTGTTGAATTTACAAATGATATAAAACTGACAAAACAATCTACTCACTTAGCATGTTACAAAATGTATATCCCAAGGGTAGGAAACGCATTCGTATTATTTCAGAAAAAAAATCATTCATTATTATACACACTTATATTATTATAACCCGAAGTAATAAAATGTAGATTGCACATCATGTACTTCAGACAAAAATAAATTAATTCAGACATTAAATAAATGTAAGACAAAATTAGTATGTTACAAAAATGATATTTCAAAGAAGAGACATTTAAACTTTTTAGATCAAAATTGCATTATAAATCATAAGGAAAAACTTTGTTTGGAAAGTAATAACGGTTGAATTCATAATCATGAAAATTTTATGAGAGAAGACAACCTTTAGAATAACAACCAAAACAATGTTTTTATTGTATTGATAGTGCTTTTCACAATATATTCACACAAGCAGTAACTTACCGTTGCAAGATTCGTCACAGAAAGTCTGTTCATAGTCTTTCCCTTGCAGATTCAAGCAATCATTTCCTTTAAATCCACTTATACAAGTTCTTTTGCGTAATTTTAAACAGACACTTTGGTCTGTGTGACAGGTCCATCCGCCCCAAGGCGACCATTCTGCAGATAAAAATAGTATAATAAATCGTTTGCACATGTTAACATTCTTGCTTAAGCTTCACTAATTTTCATAAAAGTGACTATGAAGGATTCTATGTTGCAGATCAAATTTGTATATCCTTCCACATTTAATTAATACTATCTGATCAATAAATGGTAAACGAAGTCATTCCTTTTTATTTGATTTCATGTTGCACATGCGGCTGAAGTGGTGACCGAGTAGTATGTTTATATACCTTGAACATCTTGACCCTGACTGATGGCGGGTGAAGTTAAATTTCCCGTTAGACACTTTTGATTCCTTTCATGTGATGTAATAATAATCCATCTAGCCTATGATACGTCGTTTATTTGTCCTGAACCATTAAGTTGCAAAGTGACCTAAACAGTGACAGTGTCAATTACACTTATGCTTCACATATATGAATGGGTGGTAAGTGTCGTACAGCATTTAAAGGGTAAACAAGTCTTGTTATTTTATTTGACTTTATTCAAGCTGTCAAACCTGCCCGTCAACATCTTATTGAACTCTAGGGAAAACTTAAATGTATAAATGACAGGCTAAGATTCGCCTTTCATCCTTCACTCACTATTTCTTAAGGGAGTGATAAATTACATAAAAAGACAAACGGAATACAATTATAAATCGTGAAACAAACATTTTGAATAAATTTGTATCATTGAATCATTGACGCTTAAAAAAGGTAAATTGAGTCAATATATTGTGAAAAAACAAATGTTTAAATTGCATAACATTTAAATACAACTTAAATTAGCTGAGTGTTTGAGAAGGTAGGATGAGGTGAGGGATTGCATTAAGACATGATGTAGTAAAAAATCATTTATATTCACTTTATCATTTTTGCTTTCCTTACAGCTTGAATTTTGTCACATATGATGAACTTGGATAATATAATTTGTGTTTGCAATAGCCTCTTGTCGTATATTTCACGTCTGTTGGTGTAGAAAATATTTCAAGATTTTGGAAAGTGTTGTGCAAGTGCTAGAACAGACTCGTCCTGTATCATTCTGATCTCGGGCGTAACATTAAACATTACGAAAGAAAAAAGCATTTACTGACTTAACCGTTTCTGAACAAGAATTTTAAACAACAAGAGACTATATTTAAAATCTGGCTTTCAAAAAGCAAATTTTAATTTGGTTACACAAAACACCGTAATACGTAACGGTTTACATTCTAGAGAATAACTTAACAATAAACATTTCGTTAACTATATAATTTAAAAAAAAACAGACACACAAAACTAAAAATAACAATGATCAGTCTACACTCAACCTTACTATGAATCGAAATGATAATTCAAAAACAAAGTTATACCTGCAGCACATGGACAGTTTGTTACAATAACCTCACTTGTTTTGGAGCAATTGAAAGCCGCGGTTGAATTACATGTCCGACTTTTAAAGCAAAAATCTCCTTGTTTCTTACAACCCCAATCCGACCATCCGTCTTTATGTTCGCTAATTGTATCAGAATCTAAAAAAAAATTGTAAAATATATATGTAAATTAACTTAACATAACCGCAAAGATTTTATCTTTGTGCGAAATAGGCAGTTTAGATGCATATTATCTGGTTCTTCATACAAAAATGTTTCGTATTATTTTATGATGCATTTTCCATTTGCTAATTCTTTTTCATATTGCTTTCTTACAATGTCAAAATAAACGTGTTAATTAACGAGTTCAAATCCAAATTTCTTCCCACAAGCATCTGTTTTGTACGTGGTGTAATTTCATATGCGAGACATCATTCATACAGTGAAAGTTTGCATTTCTATCTTGTCTTTTCAAGCCGGGTAATTATATAAGCAGTCGACAAGATTCCTGTGACTTCACATTTACTTAACAGTTTACTATTTGTCATGTTGCTAGCCCATGATATAATATCATATAAAAAGCAGTTTATGGAGTTGATGATTTAAGGTTAGGTTTTGTAGGTGCGGATTTTGACAGGGATGTGGTCACAGCAGATGTAGAAGTGGTTTTCTGATTAAACCGTATTGACGCCGCGGGTGTTATTGTAGTTCTGTCTGTAGTGGGTTGTGTATATAACCCTGAATTTACTGACTTCATGGTTGAAGTATATATTGATACCTTTAGCTGTTTTGTAGTACTTAATTTTGTACATGAACTGTACTGCATTATGAAGTACTAGTGTTGAGTTTATAACTATGATATAAAAAAAATTTTAATGACAAACTAATCTACTCACTTAGAATGATACAAAACGTACATCCCAAGGTTGGGAAAGGCATTGTATTATTTCAGAAAAACAAACATTCATTATTATAAACACATTTTATATTTATAAATATGAATAGCCTGAAGTTAGGAAATGAATATGTTCATCATGTTTTTCAGACAAAATATCATCAAATAAATTTTTGACAAACTTAGTGTGTTACAAAAATATGTCCCAAAAAAGAGACATTTGAACCTTTAAGACCAAATTGCATTAATGAAAATATAAAGAAAATCCTTCTTTGGAAAGAAATAAGGCTTGAATTTATAATCATAAATCATGCAAATAGTTAAAGAGGGAGGACAACCTTTAGAAAAACACCCAAAACAATGCTTTTATTGTATTGATAGTGCTTTTCACAATATTATCACAAAAAACAGAAACTTACCGTTGCAAGATTTGTCACAAAATGTCTGTTCATAATCTTTCCCTTGCAGATTCAAGCAATCATTTCCTTTGAATCCACTTATACAAGTTCTTTTGCGTAATTTTAAACAGACACTTTGGTCTGTGTGACAGGTCCATCCGCCCCAAGGCGACCATTCTGCAGATAAAAATAGTATAATAAATCGTTTGCACATGTTAACATTCTTGCTTAAACTTCACTAATTTTCATAAAAGTGACTATGAAGGATTTTATGTTGCAGATCAAATTTTGTATATCCTTCCACAATTTAATTAAATACTATCTGATCAATAAATGGTAAACGAAGTCATTCCTTTTTTATTTGATTTCATGTTGCACATGCGGCTGAAGTGGTGACCGAGTAGTATGTTTATATACTTTGGAACATCTTGACCCTGACTGATGGCGGGTGAAGTTAAATTTCCCGTTAGACACTTTTGTTCCTTTCATGTGATGTAATATAATAATCCATCTAGCCTATGATACGTCGTTTTTTGTCCTGAACCATTAAGTTGCAAAGTGACCTAAACAGTGACAGTGTCAATTACACTTATGCTTCACATATATGAATGGGTTGGTAAGTGTCGTGCAGCATTTTAAAGGGTAAACAAGTCTTGTTATTTTATTTGACTTTATTTCAAGCTGTCAAACCTGCCCGTCAACATCTTATTGAACTCTAGGGAAAACTTAAATGTATAAATGACAGGCTAAGATTCGCCTTTCATCCTTCACTCACTATTTCTTAAGGGAGTGATAAATTACATAAAAAGACAAACGGAATACCAATTATAAATCGTGAAACAAACATTTTGGAATAAATTTTGTATCATTGAATCATTGACGCTTAAAAAGGTAAATTGAGTCAATATATTGTGAAAAAACAAATGTTTAAATTGCATAACATTTAAATACAACTTAAATTAGCTGAGTGTTTTGAGAAGGTAGGATGAGGTGAGGGATTGCATTAAGACATTGATGTAGTAAAAAATCATTTATATTCACTTTATCATTTTTTGCTTTCCTTACAGCTTGAATTTGTCACATAGATGAACTTGGATAAATATAATTTTGTGTTTGCAATAGCCTCTTGTCGTATATTTCACGTCTGTTTGGTGTAGAAAATATTTCAAGATTTTTGGAAAGTGTTGTGCAAGTGCTAGAACAGACTCGTCCTGTATCATTTTGATCTCGGGGCGTAACATTAAACATTACGAAAGAAAAAAGCATTTTACTGACTTAACCGTTTCTGAACAAGAATTTTAAACAACAAGAGACTATATTTAAAAATCTGGCTTTCAAAAAGCAAATTTTAATTTGGTTACACAAAACACCGTAATACGTAACGGTTTACATTCTAGAGAATTAACTTAACAATAAACATTTTCGTTAACTAGTATAAATTTAAAAAAAAGACACACACACAAAACTAAAAATAACAATGATCAGTCTACACTCAACCTTTTACTATGAATCGAAATGATAATTCAAAAACAAAGTTATACCTGCAGCACATGACAGTTTGTTACAGTAACCTCACTTGTTTTTGGAGCAATTGAAAGCCGCGGTTGAATTACATGTCCGACTTTTAAAGCAAAAATCTCCTTGTTTCTTTACAACCCAATCCGACCATCGTCTTTATGTTCGCTAATTGTATCAGAATCTAAAAAAAAAATTGTAAAATATATATGTAAATTAACTTAACATAACCGCAAAGATTTTTATCTTGTGCGAAATAGGGGCAGTTTTAGGATGATATTATCTGGTTTCATTACATACAAAAATGTTTCGTATATTTACATATGATGCATTTTCCCATTTGCTAATTCTTTTTCATTATGTTCATTGCTTCTTACAATGTCTAAAAATAAACGTGATTTAAATTAACGAGTTTCAAATCCAAATTCTTCCCACAAGCATCTGTTTTTACGTGGTTATTATTTCATATGCGAGACATCATTCATACAGTGAAGTTTGCATTTCTATCTTGTCTTTTCAAAGCCGGGTAATTATATAAGCAGTCGACAAGATTCTTGTGACTTCACATTTACTTAAACAGTTTACTATTTTCATGTTGCTAGCCCATGATATAATATCATATAAAAAAGCAGTTTATGAGTTGATGAATTAAGGTTAGGTTTTGTAGGTGCGGATTTTGACAGGATGTGGCACAGCAGATGTAAGAAGTGGTTTTCTGATTAAACCGTATTGACGCCGCGGGTGTTATTTTTAGTTCTGTCTGTAGTGGGTTTGTGTATATAACCCTGAATTTACTGACTTTCATGGTTGAAGTATATATTGATACCGTTTAGTTGTTTTGTAGTACTTAATTTTGTACATGAAACTGTACTCTGCATTATGAAGTACTAGTGTTGAATTTAAACTATGATATAAAAAAAAATTTTAATGACAAACTAATCTACTCACTTAGAATGATACAAAACGTACATCCCAAGGTTGGGAAAGGCATTGTATTATTTCAGAAAAACAAACATTCATTATTATAAACACATTTTATATTTATAAATATGAATAGCCTGAAGTTAGGAAATAAATATGTTCATCATGTACTTCAGACAAAATATCATCAAATAAATTTTAGACAAACTTAGTGTGTTACAAAAATATGTCCCAAAAAAGAGACATTTGAACCTTTAAGACCAAATTGCATTAATGAAAATATAAAGAAAATCCTTCTTTGGAAAGAAATAAGGCTTGAATTTATAATCATAAATCATGCAAATAGTTAAAGAGGGAGGACAACCTTTAGAAAAACACCCAAAACAATGCTTTTATTGTATTGATAGTGCTTTTCACAATATTATCACAAAAAACAGCAACTTACCGTTGCAAGATTTGTCACAAAATGTCTGTTCATAATCTTTCCCTTGCAGATTCAAGCAATCATTTCCTTTGAATCCACTTATACAAGTTCTTTTGCGTAATTTTAAACAGACACTTTGGTCTGTGTGACAGGTCCATCCGCCCCAAGGCGACCATTCTGCAGATAAAAATAGTATAATAAATCGTTTGCACATGTTAACATTCTTGCTTAAACTTCACTAATTTTCATAAAAGTGACTATGAAGGATTTTATGTTGCAGATCAAATTTGTATATCCTTCCACATTTAATTAATACTATCTGATCAATAAATGGTAAACGAAGTCATTCCTTTTTATTTGATTTCATGTTGCACATGCGGCTGAAGTGGTGACCGAGTAGTATGTTTATATACCTTGAACATCTTGCCCCTGACTGATGGCGGGTGAAGTTAAATTTCCCGTTAGACACTTTTGATTCCTTTCATGTGATGTAATAATAATCCATCTAGCCTATGATACGTCGTATATTTGTCCTGAACCATTAAGTTGCAAAATGACCTAAACCGTGACAGTGTCAATTACACTTATGCTTCACATATATAAATGGGTGGCAAGTGTCGTGCAGCATTTAAAGGGTAAACAAGTCTTGTTATTTTATTTGACTTTATTCAAGCTGTCAAACCTGCCCGTCAACATCTTATTGAACTCTAGGGAAAACTCAAATGTATAAATGACAGGCTAAGATTCGCCTTTCATCCGTCTCTCACTATTTCTTAAGGGAGTGATAAATTACATAAAAAGACAAACGGAATACAATTATAAATCGTGAAACAAACAGTTTGAATAAATTTGTATCATTGAATCATTGACGCTTAAAAAAAGGTAAATTGAGTCAATGTATTGTGAAAAACCACATGTTTAAATTGCATAACATTTAAATACAACTTAAATTAGCTGAGTGTTTGAGAAGGTAGGATGAGGTGAGGGATTGCATTAAGACATGATGTAGAAAAAAATCATTCATATTCACTTTATCATTTTTGCTTTCCTTACAGCTTGAATTTTGTCACATACGATGAACTTGGATAATTTAATTTGTGTTTGCAATAGCCTCTTGTCGTATATTTCACGTCTGTTGATGTAGAAAATATTTCAAGATTTTGGAAAGTGTTGTGCAAGTGCTAGAACAGACTCGTCCTGTATCATTCTGATCTCGGGCGTAACATTAAACATTACGAAAGAAAAAAGCATTTACTGACTTAACCGTTTCTGAACAAGAATTTTAAAACAACAAGAGACTATATTTAAAATCTCGCTTTCAAAAAGCAAATCTTAATTTGGTTAAACAAAACACCGTAATACGTAACGGTTTACATTCTAGAGAATAACTTAACAATAAACATTTCGTTAACTATATAATTAAAAAAAACACACACACACAAAATTAAAAATAACAATGATCAGTCTACACTCAACCTTACTATGAATCGAAATGATGATTCAAAAACATAGTTATACCTGCAGCACATGGACAGTTTGTTACAGTAACCTCACTTGTTTTGGAGCAATTGAAAGCCGCGGTTGAATTACATGTCCGACTTTTAAAGCAAAAATCTCCTTGTTTCTTACAACCCCAATCCGACCATCCGCCTTTATGTTCGCTAATTGTATCAGAATCTAAGAAAAATTGTAAAATATATATATAAATTAACTTAACATAACCGCAAAGATTTTATCTTTGTGCGAAATAGGCAGTTTAGATGCATATTATCTGGTTCTCCATACAAACATGTTTCGTATTATTTTATGATGCTTTTTCCATTTGCTAATTCTTTTTCATATTGCTTTCTTACAATGTCAAAATAAACGTGTTAATTAACATGTTCAAATCCAAATTTCTTCCCACAAGCATCTGTTTTGTACGTGGTGTAATTTCATATGCGAGACATCATTCATACAGTGAAAGTTTGCATTTCTATCTTGTCTTTTCAAGCCGGGTAATTATATAAGCAGTCGACAAGATTCTTGTGACTTCACATTTACTTAACAGTTTACTATTTGTCATGTTGCTAGCCCATGATATATATCATATAAAAAAGCAGTTTATGGAGTTGATGAATTAAGGTTAGGTTTTGTAGGTGCGGATTTTGACAGGGATGTGGTCACAGCAGATGTAGAAGTGGTTTTCTGATTAAACCGTATTGACGCCGCGGGTGTTATTGTAGTTCTGTCTGTAGTGGGTTGTGTATATAACCCTGAATTTACTGACTTCATGGTTGAAGTATACATTGATACCTTTAGTTGTTTTGTAGTACTTGATTTTGTACATGAAACTGCATTATGAAGTACTAGTGTTGAATTTATTACTATGATATAATTTTTTTTAATGACAAACTAATCTACTCACTTAGAATGATACAAAACGTATATCCCAAGGTTGGGAAAGGCATTGTATTATTTCAGAAAAACAAACATTCATTATTATAAACACATTTTATATTTATAAATATGAATAGCCTGAAGTTAGGAAATAAAAATGTTCATCATGTACTTCAGACAAAATATCATCAAATAAATTTTTGACAAACTTAGTGTGTTACAAAAATATGTCCCAAAAAAGAGACATTTAAACCTTTAAGACCAAATTGCATTAATGAAAATATAAAGAAAATCCTTCTTTGGAAAGAAATAAGGCTTGAATTTATAATCATAAATCATGCAAATAGGTAATAAGGGAGGATAACCTTTAGAAAACACCCAAAACAATACTTTTATTGTATTGATAGTGCTTTTCACAATATTATCACAAAAAACAGAAACTTACCGTTGCAAGATTTGTCACAAAATGTCTGTTCATAATCTTTCCCTTGCAGATTCAAGCAATCATTTCCTTTAAATCCACTTATACAAGTTCTTTTGCGTAATTTTAAACAGACACTTTGGTCTGTGTGACAGGTCCATCCGCCCCAAGGCGACCATTCTGCGACAAAATTGTTATATTTAATCATTTGTACATGTACACGCTTAAACTTCACTAATTTTCATAGAAGTGACTATGAAGGATTCTATGTTGCAGATCAAATTTGTATATCCTTCCACATTTAATTAATACTATCTGATCAATAAATGGTAAATAAAGCCATTTCTTTTTATCTTATCTCATGTTGCACATGCGGCTGAAGTGACCGAGTAGTTTAGTTTATAGTTTTCGAACTTCTTAACCATGACTGATGGAGGGTGTCGTAAATTCCCCGCAAGGCACTTTTGATTCCTTTAATGTGATGTAATAATAATCCATTTAACCTAAGACACGTCGGTAATTTGTCCTGAACCATTAAGTTGCAAAATGACCTAAACAGTGACCGTGTTACCTACACTCATGCTCCACATACATAAATGGGTGGTAAGTGTCGTGCAGCATTTAAAGGATAAACAAGTTTTGTTATTTTATCTGACTTTAATCAAGCTGTGAAACCTGCCCGTCAAAGTCTTATTAAAGTCTACGGAAAACTCAAATGTATAAATGATATGCTAACATTCGCCTCCTTCTAAAGGGTGTGATATATACTTTTAATCATTTAAATATTGACGCTTCATTGTGTCGCCTCTACGGAGTAGTGGCGACATATTGGGATCACTTCTTCGTCGTCTGTCTGTCTGTCCGTCTGTCTGTCCGTCCGTCCGTCACAAAACTTGTCCGGACTACTCCTCATAAACTACTGGTGTAATTTCATCCAAACTTTACAGGAATGATCAGTATCATGTCTAGTTTTGCATATTTTCAGCACTTTCCGGTTCAATGATTTTTGTCAGAGTTATGGCCCTTTAATAATTTTTAATTTTAAAGTTTGTCCGGACTACTTCTTTTATACAACTAATGCAATTTCAATGATCTGTGGCTCAAGTCCTTTCGCATATTGCACGGGTTTTTTGGTTGAATGATTTTTGACTGAGTGATGGTCCTTTATTTAAAATGTGTTTTTTTCTGTGTGTTGCCAGATACGCAAAAACTTGTCCGGATTACTCCTCATAAACTACAGGTGCAATTTTATCCAAACTTTGCAGGAATGATCAGTACCAAGTCTAGTTGTGCACTGTCCGTCTCTCTGTCCGTCTGTCACAAAATTCGTCCCAACATGAAATTGGCCATCATGAGGCGACACATGTGATTACTGATCGCTCTTGTTAATAATATATTGAGTAAATAAATTTTGAAATACAAATATTCAAATGACATAACATTTGAATACAACTTAATTTAGCAGAGTGTGTGAGAAGGTGAAATGGGATGGGGGAATTGCATCAAGACATGTAGAAAAAAGTAATTCTTATGCTATTTATCATATTTGTTTTTCCTGCAGCTTGAATTTTGTATCATAGGATGACCTGGGATAATATATTTAGCGTATACAATAACCTCTTGTCCAATGTTTCACCTCTGCCTTGTAGAAATTATTTCGTGATCCTCGAAAGAGGTGTGCAAGTGCTAAGGCATAAACGCAAGGGTATTGTCAAACAATAATTGTTTCGAAACTGATAAACAATCTAATGTCTGAACCGTTTCCGAACGAGAAATGTTAATTAAAAGAGATTATTTTCACCATTTCGCTTTCAAAAAAATTATTTGGTTATTAACGGAACACCGAAATATATATCTGTATACATTCCAGCGCATTTTTTTAACAATACATGTTTTGTTAACACTATCACTATGATATTATTCCGTTTATTTTAATCAAATAAACCAATTTCTTTAAAATTTGTATTCATGATTAACATTAATAGAATGGTATGTTTACACAAGAAATGGATTTTACTTTGTATTTGTTTCACAAAATTGTGACAGAAAGTCCGTAAGAACAGTAGGCTCATCACTTTTGCTTGCAAAAAAAGAAAGCACAAGGAAGTATCATACAGTGCAGGAGATATTAATTATCTAAAAAGGATATAAACATGGCGTTTACGTTTCATACGCATGTGCTTGCAATGAGAAAAAACATACACACAACAAGAGGACCATGATGGCCCTGAAGTCCCTAACCTGTATATAGCCCCCCCCCCCCCAGAGTGGGGCCAGTTTAAACCCCAGGGCTTTTATTTGAACAAACTCTTTAAAAGAAGATTTCTAAGTTTTAACTATATTCATATAGGGATAATCAATGACCCCCTGGGGCGGGGCCATTTTTGACCCTAGGGCTCGTATTTGAACAAACTTGGTAGACACCCATTAAAAGATGTTTCATGCTAAATATCTTAGCTCTAGCTCATTGGGTACTTTAAATAAAGATTTTTTAAGGTTTTTACAATATACATGTAGGGAAAATCAATGACCCCCTTGGGCGGGGCCAATTTTGACCCCAGGGCTTTTATTTGAACAAACTTATTAGACACCCACTAGAAGATGTTTCTTGCCAAATATCTAAGCTCTAGCTCTTTGGGTTTCTCAGAAGAAGATATCTTTTTATTATTATTTTGGTTGCCATTGCAACCAGAGTTCTGCATGGAATTCAATTCTTTGAACAATTTTCAAAGGTGACCACGGAAGAAACATTTTTGTGCAGTTTGGATGAAATTGGCTTAGTGGTTTCTGAGGAGATGTCATTTAAAGTAAAAGTTTACGGACGGCGGACGGACGATGGACGGACGGACGGACGCCGGACGAAAAAAGATCACAAAATCTCACCCTGTTACAAAGTGACAGATGAGTTAATAAAAAGCAAAAAAAATATACCTTGCTTCATGAATCGAATGATAATGTAAAATTGAATTCATGAATTTATACCTGCGACACAAGGGCAGTTTGTTACAGTAACTTCACTTGTTTTTGAACAAGTGAAATCAGCGGTTGAATTACATGTCCGACTTTTAAAGCAAAACTCTCCTTGTTTCTTACAACCCCAATCCGACCATCCGTCTCTATGTTGGCTAATTGTATCAGTATCTATGGAAAATTGTAAAAATATACATGAAAATAAACAAAACATAACCGTAAATTATTATTCTTTGGAAAAAAATAGACAGTTAAAATGCATATTTATCTGTAAGTACATACAGAAATGTTTCGTATTATGTTATGATGCTTTTTTGTTACCTTTTCATTATTTGTTCTACTTTTTTCATATTGCCTTCCTTAAATGTCCCACATTAACGTGTTCCTTAGTTTGTTCTCAAAATCTTTGGTTTTGTTCGTGGATTAATTTCATGTAGATTGACGTTACTCATACGGTGAAATGTTTGCATTCCCCTCTTGTCTATTCCAGCCAATAAATCAAATAAGCAGTCGTCGACTCTCCTGTGGGTTTATTTTTACTTAACGGATTTTTGGTTGTAAAAGCGAAAAATATTTTTTCATATTAAATCAAGCAGTTGTTGTAGTTGCTGGTCTTAAAGAAACAGGTTTCAATGTATAATGGGGTTCTGACTTGATTTATTGGAGCTATGGCTATTACGGTAAATGCGCCTGTAGTAGGTGGTATATATAACTCTGTGTTCACTGACGCCATACATTGAAATTTTATTAGTACCTTGTTGTACTTGTAGTAGTAAATGTTGTTCATGAAAATGCATCTTGAGTTCCAAGTGTTGAACTTATTACGTTTATATCAATATGTAAAAAAATCTACTCACTTAGTATGTTGATAAATGTATAACCCTAGGTAATGAAAACAGCCGTATCATTTCAGAACAAAACATTGTTAAACAAACTATATGAATATCCCAAAGTAAGGAAATGTATCTGTATTTCATGAAAAAATATTTAAAAAAACTTAGTATGCTACAAAAAATTTTTCCCAAATCCAGGAGAGACAGACAAAATTTTCATTTGAAAAGAAATAAATTTTGCAATGATGACAATAAATAGTTTTAAAAAGATGACTGTCATTTCAATAACTCCCAAAAGAATGCCTGCATTTGATTGATAGCGGTTTGCATAATATTATCACTCATCAGTAACTTACCGTTGCAAGACCCATCACATGAAATCTCTTCATAGTTTTTCTCTTTGAGCGTAAAGCAATCATTTCCATTAAATCCGCTTATACATGTTCTTTTGCGTAGTTTTAAACATACACCTTGTTCTGTGGGGAAAGTCCTTTCCCCCCCAAGGCGACCATTCTAAAACCCAAAGAATGCAAATTTTTAATTATTCACACGTTCTTTTTTTAATTCCTTTTTTCCCTTTAAATTAATTACATTCTTTTTATAAAACACTTTTAAATCTCCCAAACTTTTTGATAACAAAAAAACTTTATTTATTAAAAACATGCTTATTTATACAAAACTTCCGTTTTGGAAACATTCTTTACCCGAGTTACCTTTCTTTATTAAATGTTAAAAATGCGGTTATAGCAAACAAGATTTAAATGAATTATTGCTTCAAAGTCCTAATGCTGTTTAAAAACAAGAAATGTGTGCAAAGGACACGGGTGCCCCCACACTCCACTGTTCTGTCAATCTAATGAATATAGGTCCAATATTTTTTGGCGCACATGTGCCACAAGTTGAAAACAAGTAAAGGGCAAGAACTTTACAAATACTGAATAAATCCACAAGCAAACAAGGTACATAAGTACACATGCTGACTAATAATCTTGAGGCCTACAAGTCAAATACTTTCTTTGCTATGCATGAACAAATTGAAAATTGTAAATTTATACTACTGTTAGTCAAGGGCAGTAACTCTAACACAACTGAAAAAATCCACATGCAAAGTCCCATGTGCAAAGCTTCACAGTGACGCTGATCATTATTCCTGTAAAGTTGGTTGATTCCAACTCAAGCACTCATGGAACAAAAAACACAACATAATAAAACGGTTTTAACTTAATCAAGGGCAATAACTTTACAAATACTGAATAAATCAACAAATGAAATCCAATTTGGAAAACAACATATTAATATATTTATAAGATAATTGTACGATATATACAAAAGTGTTATTCTACTATACCTGAGGGGTTAATTTTTTCTTTGAAATAG